TGGAACCCTTAAGTAACTCTTGGGGAGGCTCCATTCCTCCATTCTCCGCTGGATGGGTCTGCGCCTAACTGCCGGCCTGCTACTGCGCAGGCGCAGTCTTCTAGCCACCCGGCCAGGGCTTTTCCCGCGCATGCGTACGCACGTGTGCTTTCCCCCGCCCCCGCCCTTCACCGGCCAGAGCTGGTTTTGGGAGAGTGTGAGCTTAATGAACCTGGAGGATCAGCTGCAAGCCCTTGCCTAAGCCATTTCAGTCTCCCTTGTAAGGGAGTCATAGCATGTTGGTGAACAGCAAGTCTCCTCAGCACTGTGATTGAACACCTTAGTTCATTTTCTTGTCCGCCCCTTAAACCATCGTAAGCCTCTTTTCCCTAAACCAATCCCTTCTGGGAGATTTACAATATCAATAATCACTTCCTTACGCTATCCCCTGAGCTCCAGACACTATGTTTCCAACAGTCTACTTGGACATCTTTACTGTCCCATACATTCATAATACACATTAATATTCATCTTCCCTCCCAGACCTCTAGTATGTTCCAAACTCATTTAATATGGCAATATCATAGCCACAAAAGTTTAAAATTTCAGACATATTTTTTAATTCTAACCCTAAATATTCGAATCCTATTCTCTCTTTTAATGGCACCTACTTTAAGACACTTCACATACACAACTGCAATTATTTACTCCTGGATCTCCCAGCCTGCTGTCATCCACCCTTTCCACTGCCCCAATATTAATACAGGTTACCTTTAAAAACAAACAAAACCAAAAAATAAAAATAGAAACAAAACTAGAAACTTTCAGAGCTTCTTTTCTAGCCATAAATTTGAATTCCTTAATTTGGAAACGAAGGGTATCCAAAATGCACTCTATCTCAGGATCATTATTTATTACTATTCTACTTGGGATCTGTTTTTCTTTTATTCATGAGCCAGCTCAAACTTCAGCGTTCAGTTACATCTTATAACCCCCTATACATACCCTCAAAGCAGAATTAACTGTTGTCTCTAAGCTACAACTTGGCATAACACTATTAGTGGGCTCATGCTATCAGAATTAGTTAATTTCAAAAGATAGTTCTTTGGGGGCAGGAACCTGATCCTCATCTTGTACCCCTCAGGACTCATGACACAAGAGCCCAAAACCCTCAATACATGTTTGTTGTCATCAGGGTCTGTGCGGTGTGGTGTTTAACTACTGTGCCAATGAGACATGCTGCCCACCAGCTCATGATGACTTCCTTAGGGCTCATGTGATGCAACATAGAAAATATCTAACTTTAATCTAGTCAAACTTCTAGACCTAACCTCCAGTCTACAGGAAATTCAGGAGATAGAGAACAAATTGAATGATGCTATTAGGAAAAAATCAAACAAATACAAAATGTAGGTGGGACACTCGAAAACAAAATGGTTTGGATTCTTTAAAAAAAAAAAAAGTGAAGAGGAAATATAGAAGGTTACAGCCACTTGGAAAACAGTTTGGCAATTTCTTAAAAAATTAAACATGTGACTACCATACAACCTAGCAATTGCACTGCTGGGCAGTATCCCAGAGAAATAAAAACACACATTCCCACAAAAACCTGCACATAAATGTTCTTAGCAGTTTTATTTATAACAGCCAAAAAATGGAATCAACTCAGATGTTTTCCAAGAGGGAAATGGTTAAACAAACTGCAGCAGGTACCTATCTCGGAGTACAACTGAGCAATGAAAAGAAATGAACACACAGCTTGGATGAATCTCCTGGGCAGAAGAAAGATAATTCCAAAAGATTACATTCTTGAGATGACAAAATTTCAGCAATAGAAGACAGCATAGACAGCCAGAGATTGGAGTTAGAGGTGCAGAGATGGGGATGTGGGAGGGAAATATAAAAGGGCAACAGTGAGAGATTCCCGCGGTTTGGGGAACTAACTGTTCAGTATCTTGACTGAGGAGGTAGATACACAAACCTACATGACTCGTAAAACTGTATAGAAATTAACACACACACACACACACCAGTGCAAGTAAAACTAGGGAAATTTGAATAAGACCAGTGGGTTTTATCAATGTCAATATTCCAGATATGATATTATACTACAGCTTTGTAAAATGTTATTCAGAGACACTGGTGAGGTGTACAAAGGATTTCGTTGTATTATTTCTCAAATCTGCATGAATCTACATTTATCTCAGGAAATTTTTCAGTTAAAAATGTCATGGGAGGAGAAAAAGGTGAGAAGGCCATTTAAAATTAAGAGATAAAACAAGCAAATGAAATATATAAACCTTGACTACTTCTTGAGAGACAACTGGGGAAATTTGAGGATAGACTATTTAATGATACTGTGCTATGTAAACAAATGTTCTTATTTTTGGAACATGCATGTTTACATATTGTGACATGATGTTACCCACTTACTTTCAAAAGATTTACCAAGAACAGGGGTGCCTAGGTGGCTCAGTCAGTTGAGTGTCCGGCTCTTGATTTCGGCTCAGGGCATGATCTCGGGGTTGTGGGGTTGAGCCCCATGTCAGGCTCCACGCTGAGTGAAGGAGCCTGCTTGAAATTCTCTCCCTCTCTCCCTCTGCTCCCCACCTCTCCATCTCTCTCTCTCCCTCTCTTAAAAAAAAAAGATGAAGCAAGAACAAAAGGGGGGGTGTATAAGGAAATGAGCAAATGAGCAAATGTGGCAAAATTTTAACAATTATTAAATCTAGGTTAATCTACATTACAGTTGCTATAACACTAGTCTTTCAACATTTTTACACTTGATAGTGAGCTCTGAGGGCTCACTCATGCATATGGCCTTTACCTTGCCCCCATCTCCACCAGTAGAAATCCCATCCATCCTATAAAGGACATGCCCACACCCAAACTTACCCACAATACTTTCCTAGATTCTATAACTCCTATGCCTATCTGTGTTTTCTGACTAGATTAGGAGCCTCTAGAAGGCAGGTGGTATGTATTATACATTTTCTCATTTTTTTTGTCCTCTCACAAATCTAGCAATTTGATTGAAATCAAATCATGTATCATAATCCAAGCTTTACGTTTCCTAATGGATTACAGATGGTGTATAGAGGCCAGAGGTCCCAAGTGTTGGTTAGTCTACTAGCTATATCACAATCACCTGGGACATCTTCTAAAAAGCTGTTTTCAAGGTCCCACCTCAGACCTACGGAATCTGAATCTCTGGGGATGGGCCCAGGAGTCTCTATGTTTTGTTCGGCTTATAGGGAATGGGGAGAGGTAGGTGTTAATTACTGAATATTTTACACCCCAAAAAACAACAAAAACCTCACTGGGGATCTTGCCTACTGACACCTCAGAAACTCCACTAAGCCACCCTACCCACACTTGATGGAGAGAGAAAGGTGAGAAAAAAAGATGACTTTGAGCCACTTGTGGAGACATATAATTGGCAGTGAACTTCCTCAAAGTTTCTCAATCATCACGGCCAAAGCTTCTCCTGATAACACTCATACAGGTCCACCAGCTGCTCAGGGAATATGTACTCACTGGGGTGATCGGGAGATTTGAAGTCCAGGCCCTACTTCCCAGACCTGAAGAATTTAAAGGCAATACGCCCATGCCAGGCACACTATTATCAACACAGCCAGCATTCCCAATTGCGTTTCACAGCAGCTCCAGAGCTTCTTCATTTTCTAGGATGTTAGGAGCAAAACCCCCTTCAACTTTGTATTAACTTTCTATTGCTGCCCTACCAAATTCCGACAAATTTAGCAGGTTAAACAACACACATTGGCTATCTTAGCATTCTGTCCATCATAAGTCTGACATGGGTCATGCTAAAATCAAGGGTCAGCAGGGCTGAATTCCCTTGTGGAGGTTCTAGGGGAAGATCTGTTTCTTTGCTCATTTGGGATGTTGGCAAAATTCAGTTCCTTAAAGATGTAGGATTGAGCCCACATCCATTTTCTTGCTGTCAGTCACGGACTGTTCTCAGCTTCTAGAGATCACCCACATCCCTTGATTGTGGCCCCCTTCTTCACCAAACATTTTTACAACCTTATTGACTATATTCCCTATGCCGTACTTTCCATCCCTATGACTTATTTGTTACTGGAAGCTTGTACCTCTTAATCCCCTTTATCTATTTCATCCATCCTCCCACCCATCTCCCCCTCTGGAAACCAGCAGTTTGTTCTCTGTATTTATGAGTCAGGGTTTTTTTTGTCTTTGTTGTTTCTTAAATTTCACATATGAGTGAAATCACACGGTATTTGTCTTTTCTCTGACTGACGTATCCCACTTGGCATTATACCCTCTAGGTCCATCCATATTGTTGCAAATGTCAAGATTTCATTCTTTTTTTAAAAATGGCTACTATTCCACCGTATGTATATGGCACATCTTTATCCATTCATCTGTGGATGGACATGGGCTGTTTCCATATCTTGGCTATAGTAAGCAATGCTGCAATATACATAGGGGTGCATGTATCTTTTCAAATTAGTGTTTCTGTTTTCTTTGGGCAAATACCCCATAGTGGAATTATTGGATCATGTGGTAGTTCTATTTTTAATTTTTTGAGGAACTTCCATACTGTTTTCCACAATGGCTGCACCAATTTGCATTCCCACCATTACACAAGGGTTCCTTTTTCTCCACATCCTCTGTAACACTTGTTATCCATTCTGATAGGTGTAAGGTGATTTTTCATTATGGTTTTGATTTGCATTTCCCTGATGATTAGTGATGCTGAGCAGCTTTTCATGTGTCTGTTGGCCATGTGTATGCTTTCTTTGGCAAAATGTCTATTCAGGTCCTCTGCCCATTTTTAAATTGGATTATTTGTTTTTTAGTGTTGAGTTGTATAAGTTCTTTATATATTTTGGATATTAATCCCTTATCAAATACATCAATATTTGCAAATATTTTCTCCCATTCAATAGGTTTCCTTTCGTTTTGTTGATGGTTTCCTTTGCTCTGCAAAAGCTTTTTATTTTGGTGTAGTCCCAATATGAAACTTTTCAAACAGAAAAGGTATATTTTCTTTTTATTAGTCATGAAGTAAAGCATCTTTCAAGCTGAATTACATTATACTTATTACATGATACATAACCACAACCACCAAGCCAGTTTGAAAAAAGACACATTTCATATTTTAATTTATTCAGTAAGGAGGCATTAAAAATAAATAAAGGTCTTTTGCCCCCTTCTTTCCTATTCCCTAAATTTTATGTTTAAACCTGATATATATTTTATAACACTAAAGTAATGGCTGTTTCTGTAGAAGAGTTTTTTAAGATAATGATTATAAATGCAACTAATTTGAGAAAACAGGAAATAAACACTTTCACCTGCTGGTTTCGAGCTCATTACCTCCTTTGTCATTAAGATGATAATGCTAGAGAGATTAATGTTTGGTTATGAATTGCAGATACAATTTTAACATTTTCCATAATCTTGAGAAAATTTTCAGTACTATATAATCAAAAAATCAATTCCAAATATACCTGTACATAGCTTATAAAAATACATTTAAAAACAAGAATAGGAAAAATTCTAAATACTGGGCCATTACTACACTGAAGGTGAGCTGGCATTATGAAGAGGCTTTGAGTCCTTTATCTTTTTCAGGATATTCTTCCACATCAGAGGAGAACATCAACTCTGGGAGAGAAAATGGAACAGATCATACTCAGAATGGTTTCCCAGTACCTCAAAAAGTTTACTTTTAAACAGTCTCTCAAAATATTGACATATTTAATATATATAATAGAAAGCCCTCAAGTACAAATAACAATTCTTGATAATGAAATCTGATTTAAAAGGTGAGTGAATGACAAATGTGCAAGTTTTGCATTTTAAAATGCTCAAGTTTTAAATGTATTGTAAACCCCCGAAAAATAAAACATATATAATGGAGACAATATAATAACTCTTACCAGAAAATTTAAGTCACTTAGCTAAGCCAGGGTCATTAAACAGCTGAAAGGTCTAATTCTACAGTGACCATGGTAATCTACAATGGAGGGACACATGCAGAGCAAGGACATGGAACTAACATGAAGCGTGTGCCAGGATATCTTAAATGTGTTATCCCACCTAATCACCACAACAACCCAATAAGCAAAGTGTATCATCCTCATTTTATATTTACTCTTTTTATCCACATGGAAATAAAATGTTATATGATGACTCACAAAAGAGAGCAGGATTCTGGAAATATTTAGTAAGTAACACACACTTTGTGACTGAGGCTCAATACTACACAATCCCAACCACAGGTAGAATGTTATTTGTTGACATTTCTACATTTAAACTATTACTTAGCATAGATGTGTAATTTATCAAAATATTAAGAAATATAGAAAAAGAAGACCTTAGGAATTTAATAAAATAAAGTCCTTTGATATAAATATTAGATTGAAAAATTCCTTGAATGACTAAAAACTATGCTGAGTGAAAACAAAAAACAGCAAAATACGTAAAGCCTAAGACGACTTTTAAAAAGACTTTAAATATACCAAAGGGAATAAAGCAACAGAATATTCAGTGAAGCAACATGAGAATTATGATGCAAAAAGGTACATTCATGAATAAAAATGCACCAGATTACATCTTTTGTCTCGGTTTTTACAAATGGAAATACTGGGATGGTTCTCAATTCTAAGACTTCTGAGGTTGTAATTAGTTGACCAAATTGCAGTGAAAGGCTCAGGATATTAAACCAATCAAGAATAAAACCATAACCAAAGTCCAGAAAATATCAAAGAGATTCAAGGGTGAAACTGCGGAACATCTGCCAAGGAAATAAACTTAGCAGTTCTAAAGCAGTGTGCTCAAGGACTTTCAGTTTGCTGATACAATTCCTCTTCTCCAGGTGTTCCAAAAGGAGTCTAAGGACTAGAGATTAGTAAATCTCACTTTGCACTGAGCACGCTAAAGCTAGGACTACTAAATACTTCATTAGACAATGCAGGATGAAGAACTTGGGCCAGGTAGAGGAGGAGGTAAGAACGAATATGTGTCTGACAACGGCTACGTAGATGAAGCATGGTTTATGTCAAATTAAGAGATACTTTGATCAGAAGGAAACTAGGAGAAATGAGCAAAGACTCTATAAAATACTTGAAGGATTCCAAGAAAAGAAATACCTCTTAAATACAAATATGCACATGGGTGACAGGCGACTTTCCGTAAGTACTTTGAGGCTCCGACTCTTCTAGATACTCTGTTTCTCTTGGCATTGTTTCACTACTTTATTGTCACTCCTCCTTATATTATTTTATTTTAAATACATCTTTGTTATCAGAATATCATAAGCTAGATCCATTAAAAGAACATTTATAAAATCAACAGATTTCATGATATTCTTATGCTACTTTTTCTTTATTCTTTATTTTTTTTTAAAGATTTATTTGCAAGAGAGAGAGAGCACAAGTGTGCACACGAGCGTGGGGGGAGTGCAGAGGGAGAGAAGCAGACTCCCCCACACTGAGCACTGTCCAATCCCACAACCCCAAGATCATGACCCAACCACCGAGATCACGACCCAAGCTAAAATCAAGAGTCAGACACGTTCAACCAACAGAGCCACCCAGGTGTCCCACTATTTTTTCTTTAATACCTTCACTAAGATCCATGCCTGGCATATAAGACAAAAAAAGCCAAGACAGTCCAACCAGAAGGGCCACCACCAGATTCACCACAATCCATGGCTGGAGAACCTGTTCCTCGACACCTGCTGCCCTAAAGGTATAGAAATACTCATTAGAAATATCTTCATTTGGGTTCATATATCCAAATAGATCTATTTAATGAACTTTAAAAAAATAGCAGTCCTCGCCTAGAGAAATAACAAGTAAAGCATGAAATAAATATATCTTATATAATTTCCCTATAAAATAACTACACACACACACACACACAAACACACCATGGGAACAAAGGTTCAAAGGTTACTGAACTCTAAACAAATATGCTTTATACATCGACATAAGTGAAAATTTAGTATTGCCAATTTTTCTAAGTTTCCCTTTCAACTACTGTGATGCTACTCATGCCCCTAGCCACTCTCCCAAAAAAAGACTGCCCCTCTGACTTTTGTGAACTGGACTCTCAACTCGCCCGTGAGCCTCATGACTCTGACCTATGGAGGCTGGCTCTCCCTAGATTGCTCTCTTTCTAGCATTGCTTGGTTTTCTGACTCCATCCCAGCTACCCACTGCCATCACTACTCTGGGGTATTAGACCTCCTGACTGGGAGTGAGGGTACAGGGCTTCTCTAGTTCATTGTGTATGACTGATCTTATAACCGTAACCTAATAGATCTAAAATAGATTTTTATAAAAAGAATACATTTCATTAAAAATGCAGAGAGAAATAACAATAGTTATCCACTAACCAATGTAATGGATATTTTCTTGCCATAATTTTGGAAACAAAAACAGGGCCTTCACTATTATTTATAAATGAGAAAATGTAAAAGAATGAAGGATAAGAATAGTACCATTACTCCCATTGTTGCTGTTATTACCATCAACAATTGCTAATGCTATTGTGAATCTTACCAGAGGCTACCATTAACAGAAGAAGGTGTGTAAAGATGGATTCTGTCACTTGTCATTTGCTGACTCAGAGATAATATAAGAGCAGTAAAGTACACTGAGAAAAAGACAAATGAAATTACTAATAATGTATTTTTAACAACCCAGTTTATTTTGAATTTATAGATTACGTAAGGTCAAAAATAATCTATACTTTGGGGGATGATGACATAAAAGAAATCCATTTGATCAATTTCAATAGGCAAGCTAGTCTTATTTTATTTTTAAAGAATACAGGTACAGAAGGGTATTCTGACATGTTCACTATTTCATCATTAGAAATTACAAGAACCCAGAAGATCTTTTAAGAAAGCAAATTACTTACTCAAGGTTTTAAAACTAGTTTTATTAATATTCTCATAACTTAGAACAAAACATATCCCAAATTATCAAAAAGATACAAAATAATATTTGTTACTGAAATGCCATACCAGTTGAATCTGTTTGCTATCAAGTAGAGATTACAAAATCAAAACATTAAGAAACAGAGAACAAATTCAACTTTTAACAGTTATCTAGATCAACCTCTACTGAAAAATAATTCTATCAAAATTACACCGGTCATGTTTTCTTAATTGCAAATTCCGCTGAACATCTGTTAAGTAATGTTTATAAGTGGTAATATAAAATCTTTCTAAAAGTAAAATTAAACTTTTCCTGGTTCAAAATTACAGTCTAATTCAAGTATTACACAATTATCAAATGAAAGTATTTACTCACAGAAAGATGCTAAAGCTGTTGGATCCAGGGCAAGAAAATTTCGGATTGCTACTGATGTTTTAGCAAAGTCAATCCTAGAAAATACAAAAGCCTCTCGTCGCAGTGCATTGGTAAACTTCTCACAAAACTCTCTTGATTACAGTTTTTTCCTTCTCTATTCTAATGCTAAAGCTCTATTAAGCTTTAAGTAGCTACACTTTCTACTAAATACACATGAAAGAATATCTTATTTACAAAAGCCACATAAAACATTTAACTAGATTAATATTTAGTCAACATTCCTTTGGAGTTAGACACTCTAAAGAAACAAATTAAACTTGATCTGCAAAATTTCTTTAGATTCTACCTCTTTCTATTACCCATATCATCAGGCTATAAGTTGCTGTTTTTCTTAATGGGTTGAATTGTGTTCGCAAAGACATGTTGAACTTCTAACCCCTTGTATCTGTGAACGTGACCTTATTTGGAAATAGGGTCTCTGCAGATGTATCGAGTTAAGATGAGGTCATTTGAAGGGGCCCTAATTCAATACAACTGGTGTTCTCAGAGGAAGAGAAGAGACACACAGGGAAGACCACCATATGACTACAAAGGCAGAGGTTGGAGTGATGCGCCTACAAGCCAAGGAACTCCAAGGACTGCCAGCAACCACTGGAAACTAAGGAAAGGTGTGGAAGAGACTCTCCCACCAGCCCTCCAGAAAGGAACCAACCTGGCCGACATCTTAACTTCAGACTTCTAGCTTCTACACTGAGAGAGAGTAAATTCCTGTTGCTTTAGGTCACCCAGTTTGTAGTACAGTTGACCCTTGAGCCACACAGGTTTGAAGTGCATAGGTCCACTTATAAGCAGATTTTTTTCAATAAATATAGTGCAGGACTGTAAATGTATTTTCTCTTCCTTATGATTTTCTTCATAATTTTTGTTTTTTCTAGCTTACTTTATTTTTTATTTTTTTAAGATTTATTTGAAAGAGAGAGAGAGCGCATGCATGCACCAGTGTGGGAGAGGCAGAGGGAAAAAGAGAATCCTCAAGCCAACTCCCCACTGAGTGCTGAGCCCAACATGGAGCTGGATCCCAGGACCCTGAGATCATTACCTGAGCTGAAATCAAGAGCCAGCTGCCTAACCAATTGAGCCACCCAGGTGCCCTCTAGCTTACCTTTTTAGAAGAATACAGTATATAATATATACTAAATATGTGGTAATCGACTATTTATGTTATTGGTAAGGCTTCTGGTCAACAGTAGGCTATTAGTTAAGTTCTGAGGGAGTCAAAAGTTATACATGAATTTTTGACTTGCAAGAGGTCGGCACACCTAACCCCTGTGATGTTCAAGGATCAACTGTACTTTATTACAGCAACCCTAGGAAACTCATACAATACCCAGAGTCTCACCTATACCTGGTTCAGGTGATTTGCAAGATGATATTTGGGACTGTTTTTGTTGATATATTTGGATGAAATTTTAGACTTAGAGTTGATGCTGGAATGGGTTTAGATTTTGAGGATGCTTTCGTTGAGAGTATTCCCATCCCTCCACCCCCAACAGAAACAGACTGGCTTTTAAAAGTCAAAATAGTATTAATATATTATAATTCTATTTTGAAAACTGTCATAGTCAGGGACAGATTTTGCTCAACATTTCCACCTGAAGAAAAGTTAGAGGGATATACAGTCACAATAGTCTTACCTGTCAAAAGTTGAAATTGTACTTAGGGCTAAAAGCAAGTAGAGAAGACTCTGGAATGGATATGCTAAGGTCTTGTACTGTTGCAGAAGGTTTGAGAGGTTAGAAAGCTGATCTCCTGCTAGAATATATATGAAAACAATGTTCCACACAGCACAGCCGGCCAAGAAGCCATGAGAAAAGAGACCAATCATCCTGAATGGAAAAGGGTTTAATTATTACACATGTATGACTAAAGTAAAAAGCTAAAATATTTTTTAAATCTCTTCACATATAAGAATAAAACTCAACATTTCAAAAAAGTAAAAACAAGCCTTTTCTTTTTATTGCACTGATAGGCAGATGATTTAACTCCAATTAAATGTTTTAAAAATATACCTACGGACTGTTTTAAGTTGTCAATTTTGTTAACAATATTGAGCTATCAACACTTTTTAAAAAAAATGATGGACTATTTATTTTAAGACAAGTCCAACACAAGCAGCCACCTGAAAGCCCGGTGCACCCAGAGTGCCACATCTCTGGTTGTCCAGGAAAGCTTCATGTCCATCGACACCTCTATATTTTCTGTGGTCTTTATCAACTCCGAACGATCAGCAGCCTGGAATCGCCCTATGTACATATTACACAATTATTAACAACTAGCAACAGAGAACCCTGGCCATCTTTTTATCTTATTTCACACCATTAGAACCCTGGGACTGAGATTTGTCTGTTTTTCTATCTAAAAATTCTCCCCTATCTAGTCCCTATTTGAGAAGGCTCTTTTCTTTTGGTTGCTTTAATATGCTATCTTTTTATCTTTAGGGAAAATAAACAAAGTCCATATACTCTCCTCTCTTCTTAAAACAGATGTTAAAGTAACAGTTTTTAGAAATCAATTATATTTAATGAAATATAAAAAGGAACTTCCCACTCAGAACAAAGTCTAAAAAGCTTTAACATGACATAATCTACAAAAGTCTAATTTTGAGACTTTAGAAGTTTATTAAATGTCAACACTAAAAGTTAAGTCGATGTTTGAAAACACTTTGAATTTCCTAGGAAAAGATGCCGGTGTGTGTAGCATGGCATTCTGTGACAACAGAGAAGAAAGAGGTTGTCTCATAAACTTGAGAAGATTCCTGTGACAAGCATCAGTTCAAGTGTCAGCACCGCAACACCGTGTGCACAGAGCTTTCTCCTTGTACTGTTCACGAGGATCCTTCTTGCAAATCTACCAACCTACAAATGGACCACAGGAGGCAGGAAAGGTTCTTCAATTACCTTTGCCAAATCTGGCTGTCAAGTATTTTGGAGGATGAAAGACAGAGGTGCAACACCTACTTTTCCCTAAAAAAAGACAACTTCTGGGCAGACAACAGGTGTCTTTTATGGTCAGTTACTCTAGTAGGGAAGTTTCTGTGCTAAGGAAAACAAGAGTAAAAATGAGGATTGAATGACACTGCTTAATAAACAGACTATAAAAAATAGATAGTCCTTAAAAATGAGGATTGAGTGATATTGCTTAAAAAGAGAAGTAAATTAAATAGCAACATAGTATACTAGTCAAAGCACTTGACTAGAAGTCATGAAACCTCCACTCAAGTCCCAATTCCGCACTAACCAACTCTGAGACCCTGGCGAAGTCAGCCTCCCGGGATCAGAAGTTTCTCACTGGCCAAGAACTTGAAGATCCCTTACATGACATCTTACAGAGTAGAAATTCTAAAATGGTGTACACGAAATCTAAATTATAAAGTTTTAGGACTAATGTTTATGGTTCATTTGAGTTCTTTAGGCAGCACACTCATAGCATATCCACGAGATATATATAGTCATGATCGTGCTTTCTGTATGTTTTTCTTAAACACTGCAAATGCAGTCTCATAATCCATGCACACTATACAATGTCAGAACTACCTTCCAAAAGAATCTGGAGCTATATGGTTGTATTTCTTATTTAATATGGTAATACCATCATGTATCTTCTCTCATTTATTTTTAATTATAACATTTATATTATTACCTGCCCCCCCCCCACCACCAATTGTGGAAAACTGGTAAAGTACAAGAATAAAGGAATGGATTAAGGGGGGGTTGGGGGGGGATTTTCTAAATCACCCACAATCCCATAACCCAGAAATAACCAGCATTAATATTTTGGCATAACTCCTTCTAGTCTTTTGTCCTACACATTTTTCTATTGGTGAGATCAAACTACATACGTGTGTGTTTTTCATTAAATCTTTCCATGAAATGAAAAATTCTCCCTAAACATTATTTTTAATGGTGCAGATTTTATTATATAGATATACCATAACTGACTGAAATCATACCCCTTCTATTTTATATTTACGTTGTTTCCAGTTTTTCACTCTCAAGAATAATATGATGATTAGCTTTGTGTTTAAATTTTTGTCCATATCTTTATTTCCCTAATTCAGATCTCCAGAAATGTTCCTAAATCAAAGGATATCCTTGTGTAAATCCCAGAAAGCTCATGTTCCAAAACAAGAATGACTTACGGCTTTTTTCCACAAACACTTTGCCTACAGGCTGGCTAATGCCAGTGGGTGCGGTGAATATAGACTGTTGTTCTGGGCCTCTTTGCTCATCAGTAATTATGTCTTCATCTTCTACACCCAGTTCATTGGCATACTGTAATTCTGCTGGCTGGGTTTTCCTATAATCAGGAAGAATGTAAGAAAAATGGATTATTGTTGAATTTTTACAGACCCACATAAGGAGGTACCTGTAAAAGAGCCTTAGACTTGGGAGTCGAAAAATTTGGTTTTTACTTAAATGGATCTGTTCTTTTTTTTTTTTAATTTTATTTTATTATGTTATGTTAGTCACCATTCATTACACCATTAGTGGGTTTTTTAAAAAAAAATTATTGTTATGTTAATCACCATACATTACATCATTAGTTTTTGATGTAGTGTTCCATGATTCATTGTTTGTGCATAACACCCAGTGCTCCATGCAGAATGTGCCCTCTTTAATACCCATCACCAGGCTAACCCATCCTCCCACCCCCCTCCGCTCTAGAACCCTCAGTTTGTTTTTCAGAGTCCATCATCTCTCATGCTTCATCTCCCCCTCTGATTTCCCCCCTTCATTCTTCCCCTCCTGCTATCTTCTTTTTTTTTTCTTAACATATATTGCATTATTTGTTTCAGAGGTACAGATCTGTGATTCAACAGTTTTGCACAATTCACAGCGCTCACCATAGCACATACCCAGTGTCTATCACCCAGACACCCCATCCCTCCCACCACCCCCCACTCTAGCAACCTTCAGTTTGTTTCCTGAGATTAAGAATTCCTCATATCAGTGAGGTCCTATGATACATGTCTTTCTCTGATTGACTTATTTTGCTCTGCATAACACCCTCCAGTTCCATCCACGTCGTTGCAAATGGCAAGATCTCATTCCTTTTGATGGCTGCATAATATTCCATAGTATATGTATACCACTTCTTCTTTATCCATTCATCTGTCGATGGACATCTTGGCTCTTTCCACAGTTTGGCTATTGTGGACATTGCTGCTATAAACATCGGGGTGCACGTACCCCTTCGGATCACTACATTTGTATCTTTGGAGTAAATACCCAGTAGTGCAATTGCTGGATGGTATGGTAGCTCTATTTTCAACTTTTTGAGGAATCTCCATACTATTTTCCAGAGTGGCTGCACCAGCTTGCATTCCCACCAACAGTGTAGGAGGGTTCCCCTTTCTCCACATCCCTGCCAACATCTGTCGTTTCCTGACTTGTTAATTTTAGCCACTCTGACTGGTGTGAGGTGGTATCTCATTGAGGTTTTGATTTGGATTTCCCTGATGCCGAGCGATGTTGAATGCTTTTTCATGTGTCTGTGGGCCAGTTGGATGTCTTCTTTGGAAAAATGTCTGTTCATGCCTTCTGCCCATTTCTTGATTGGATTAGTTGTTCTTTGGGTGTTGAGTTTGAAAAGTTCTTTATAGATTTTGGATACTAGCCCTTTATCTGATATGTCATTTGCAAATATCTTCTCCCATTCTGTCGGTTGTCTTTTCGTTTTGTTGGCTGCTTCTTTTGCTGTGCAAAAGCTTTTTATCTTGATGAAGACCCAATAGTTCATTTTTGCCCTTGCTTCCCTTGCCTTTGGCGATGTTTCTAGGAAGAAGTTGCTGCGGCTGAGGTCGAAGAGGTTGCTGCCTGTGTTCTCCTTTAGGATTTTGATGGACTCCTGTCTCACATTTAGGTCTTTCAACCATTTGGAGTCTATTTTTGTGTGTGGTGTAAGGAAATGGTCCAGTTTCATTCTTCTGCATGTGGCTATCCAATTTTCCCAACACCATCTGTTGAAGAGACTGTCTTTTTTCCATTGGACATTCTTTCCTGCTTTGTCAAAGATGAGTTGACCATAGAGTTGAGGGTCCATTTCTGGGCTCTCTGTTCTGTTCCATTGATCTATGTGTCTATTTTTGTGCCAGTACCATACTGTCTTGATGATGACAGCTTTGTAATAGAGCTGAAAGTCCGGAATTGTGATGCCGCCAGCTTTGCTTTTCTTTTTCAACATTCCTCTGGCTATTTGGGGTCTTTTCTGGTTCCATACAAATTTTAGGATTATTTGTTCCATTTCTTTGAAAAAAGTTGGTGGTATTTTGATAGGGATTACATTAAATGTGTAGATTGCTCTAGGTAGCACTGACATCTTCACAACATTTGTTCTTCCAATCCATGAGCATGGAACGTTTTTCCATTTCTTTGTGTCCTCCTCAATTTCTTTCATGAGTATTTTATAGTTTTCTGAGTCCAGATCCTTTGCCTCTTTCGTTAGATTTATTCCTAGGTATCTTATGGTTTTGGGTGCAATTGTAAATGGGATCGACTCCTTAATTTCTCTTTCTTCTGTCTTGTTGTTGGTGTATAGGAATTCCACTGATTTCTGTGCATTGATTTTATATCCTGCCACTTTACTGAATTCCGATATGAGTTCTAGCAGTTTTGGCGTGGAGTCTTTTGGGTTTTCCACATAAAGTATCATATCATCTGCAAAGAGTGAGAGTTTGACTTCTTCTTTGCCGATTTGGATGGCTTTTATTTCTTTCTGTTGTCTAATTGCTGTGGCCAGGACTTCTAGTACTACGTTGAATAGCAGTGGTGATAGTGGACATCCCTGCCGCGTTCCTGACCTTAGGGGTAAAGCTCTCAGTTTTTCCCCATTGAGAATGATATTCACTGTAGGTTTTTCATAGATGGCTTTTATGATATTGAGGTATGTACCCTCTATCCCTATACTCTGAAGAGTTTTGATCAAGAAAGGATGCTGTACTTTGTCAAATGCTTTTTCTGCATCCATTGAGAAGATCATATGATTCTTGTTCTTTCTTTTGTTAATGTATTGTATCACGTTGATTGATTTGCGGATGTTGAACCAACCTTGCAGCCCAGGGATAAATCCCACTTGGTCGTGATGAATAATCCTTTTAATGTACTGTTGGATCCTATTGGCTAGTATTTTGGTGAGAATTTTTGCATCCATGTTCATCAAGGATATTGGTCTGTAATTCTCCTTTTTGATGGGGTCTTTGTCTGGTTTTGGGATCAAGGTAATCGTGGCCTCATAAAATGAGTTTGGAAGTTTTCCTTCCATTTCTATTTTTTGGAACAGTTTCAGAAGAATAGGTATTAGTTCTTCTTTAAAAGTTTGGTAGAATTCCCCTGGGAAGCCATCTGGCCCTGGGCTTTGGTTTGTTGGGAGATTTTTGATGACTGCTTCAATTTCCTTAGCGGTTATAGGTCTGTTCAGGTTTTCTATTTCTTCCTGGTTCAGTTTTGGTAGTTGATATGTCTCTAGGAATGCATCCATTTCTTCCAGGTTATCTAATTTGCTGGCATATGGTTCCTCATAATATGTTCTTATAATTGTTTGTATTTCTTTGATGTTGGTTGTGATCTCTCCTCTTCCATTCATGATTTTGTTGATTTGGGTCATTTCTCTTTTCTTTTTGATAAGTCCAGCCAGGGGTTTATCAATCTTGTTAATACTTTCAAAGAACCAGTTCCTAGTTTCGTTGATCTGTTCTACTGTTGTTTTGGTTTCTATTTCATTGATTTCTGCTCTGATCTTTATTATTTCTCTTCTCCTGCTGGGTTTAGGCTTTATTTGCTGTTTTTTCTATAGCTCCTTTAGGTGTAGGGTTAGGTTGTGTATTTGAGACCTGTCTTGTTTCTTGAGAAAGGCTTGTATTGCTTTCCTCTTCGGACTGCCTTTGCTGCATCCCAAAGATTTTGAACAGTTGTGTTTTCATTTTCATTGGTTTCCATGAAATTTTTAATTCTTCTTTAATTTCCTGGTTGACCCATTCATTCTTTAGTAGGATGCTCTTTAGCCTCCATGTAGTTGAGTTCTTTCCAACTTTCCTCTTGTGATTGAGTTCTAGTTTCAAAGCACTGTGGTCCGAAAATATGCAAGGAATAATTCCAATCTTTTGGTACTGGTTGAGACCTGATTTGTGACCCAGGATGTGATCTATTCTGGAGAATGTTCCATGGGCACTAGAGAAGAATGTGTATTCTGTTGCTTTGGGATGGAATGTTCTGAATATATCTGTGAAGTCCATTTGGCCCAGTGTGTCATTTAAAGTCTTTATTTCCTTGTTGATCTTTTGCTTAGATGATCTGTCCATTTCGGTGAGGGGGGTGTTAAAGTCCCCTACTATTACTGTATTGTTGTCGATGTGTTTCTTTGGTTTTGTTATTAATTGGCTTATATAATTGGCTGTTCCCATGTTAGGGGCATAGATATCTATAATTGTTAGATCTTGTTGGATAGGCCCTTTAAGTAGGATATAGTGTCCTTCCTCATCTCTTATTATAGTCTTTGGTTTAAAATCTAATTTGTCTGATATAAGGATTGCCACCCCAGCTTTCTTTTGATGTCCATTAGCATGGTAAATGGTTTTCCACCCCCTCACTTTCAATCTGGAGGTGTCTTTGGGTCTAAAATGAGTCTCTTGCAGACAGTGTATCGATGGGTCTTGTTTTTTAATCCAATCTGATAGCCTGTGTCTTTTGATTGGGGCGTTTAGCCCATTTACATTCAGGGTAACTATTGAAAGATAGGAATTTAGTGCCATTGTATTGCCTGTAAGGTGACTGTTACTGTATATTGTCTGTGTTCCTTTCTGGTCCGTGTTACTTTTAGGCTCTCTCTTTGCTTAGAGGACCCCTTTCAATATTTCTTGTAGGGCTGGTTTCGTGTTTGCAAATTCTTTTAGTTTTTATTTGTCCTGGAAACTTTTTATCTCTCCTTCTATTTTCAATGACAGCCTAGCTGGATATAGTATTCTTGGCTGCATATTTTTCTCATTTAGTGCTCTGAATATATCATGCCAGTCCTTTCTGGCCTGCCAGGTCTCTGTGGATAGGTCTGTTGCCAATCTAATGTTTCTACCATTGTAGGTTACATATCTCTTGTCCCGAGCTGCTTTCAGGATTTTCTCTTTATCTCTGAGACTTGTAAGTTTTACTATTAGATGTCGGGGTGTTGACCTATTTTTATTGATTTTGAGAGGGGTTCTCTGTGCTTCCTGGATTTTGATGCCTGTTTCCTTCCCCAAATTGGGAAGTTCTCTGCTATAATTTGCTCCAATATACCTTCTGCCCTGCTCTCTTTCTTCTTCTTCTGAGATCCCAATTATTCTAATGTTGTTTCATCCTATGGTATCGCTTATCTCTTGATTTCTGCCCTCATGATCCAGTAGTTATCTCTCTTTTTCTCAGCTTCTTTATTTTCCATCATTTGGTCTTCTGTATCGCTGATTCTCTCTTCTGCCTCATTTATCCTAGCAGTTAGTGCCCCCATTTGTGATTGCACCTCGTTAATAGCCTTTTTGATTTTGACTTGGTTAGATTTTAGTTCTTTTATTTCTCCAGAAAGGGTTTCTCTAATAACTTCCATGTTTTTTTCAAGCCCAGCTAGTATCCTTAAAATCATGATTCTGAACTCTAGGTCCGACATCATACTAATGTCCTTTGAGTAGGTCCCTGGCAGTCGGTACCACCTCTTGTTCTTTTTGTTGAGGCGATTTTTTCCGTCTTGTCATTTTGTCCAGAGGAGAATAGATGAATGAGAGAACAAAATGCTAACAGGTAACAACGTCCCCAGGAAATATACTCTAAACAAATCAGAAAAGACCTGAAACTGGGGAAAAAGAAAGGGAAAGAAAGAAAAAAGAAAAAAAGAAAAAGAAAAAGATAAAAACAAACAAAAACAGAACAAAACAAAAAAACCAGAATATGATCAAATATGATCAGGCTGGTGCATAGATCAGTGCCACACACTAGATTTTGGGTGAATTTTGGTCTGTTAGAAGAAAGTGCCTCCCAAAATTTTAAACAAAGAAAAACATATATGTACAAAAATAAGGGTTGATACGATGAAGGGATTGAATATGACTGTAAAGATGAAAATTATAAAAAATTTTATAAAAGGAATTGATAAGATAAGAAGTTGTTTGAAAAAAGAAAGAAGAGGATTTAAAAAAAAAAAGAAAAAAAGTGGGGGAGAGAATGTGATCAGGCAGGAGACTAGATCAAAGCCATACACTAGAGATTTAGGGTATATTTTGATGTGTTAGAAACTGTATCTCAAAATTTTAAAGAGAGAACAACTTATATATATATGCCAAAAATAAGGGTAACTACTATGAAGGGATAGAATATGACTCTTCCAGAAAGTGGTTGCTTTTCTGTTCAGAGAGTTGTTGCTATTCTTTTCTTCGATCTCCTATTGAGTTTGTAGGTGTTCAGAATGGTTTGATCCCTAACCAGCTAAATTCCTGAGACCAGTGAAATCCAGGTCTCCTACTCCTCCGCCATCTTGCTCCGCCCCTACATCATTAGTTTTTGACGTAGTGTAACACGATTCAATGTTTGTGTATAACACAAATGGATCTGTTCTTAACTGTTATGTGCAGCAAGTCACATACATTTCTGTGGGCCTCAGTTTTCTCATCTGGAAAATGAAGTGACTGAACTACATTTATAAGGTTCTTTCCAAACTTAAAATGATAGGATTCTACATAAATATTGATCACGATTTGTAGGGTGATTTCTAAATACAAACAATAGTGTTATATAACTTCCAGTGTACTTCTTTAAAGTATGCCATTCTGTTTTATCCAACACTTAATTTCCTATACTAAAATATACATTTTTATTTATTGCTGAAATAATCATAATCTGAATTCTATTAACATGAGAAAATATATCACAATAGCCTACTTTATTAATATTATCTTCAAATTTCAGTATCTTTCGTATTTAATTTTTGCTACGTATATAATATTTTCTATTGATGTTCCTCTTTTTTAGAGATAGCTCCTAGGACCTATAATTTAAGTATTTTACTTCTTTGGTTGTTTACTCTTTTCAAATTTATCAAAAGGTACCTTTGAGAGCTCTGAATTAAGTAGCACAGTATCCCTGAAGAATATTTAGGACAAATGAATTCTTACTTTGTCTTCCTTCGAGGTTTTTGAATAACTGCCTCCTCAGCTGGTTCCACATCAATACCATTTTCATTTCGTAATAAAGATGAACTAGATGTCTTCTTTTGGGTTAAGGAAGTCTCCAATTCTGAAAATAAAGTAGATTAAATTTTCAAATTACTATCATGTAAGAAGAAAAGTATATAAAACTTACAAGAAAAGATAACTTTAAAAATTTTAATTAGGCCAAAATTTTTTCACCATTTTACTAATTTTTGTAATTTTATAGCTCTAAACACCAAAAATTTTGAAACTGCAATGCCAAAAAATATGGAAAAAGTTAACTAATCCAACACCCAGAATGTTGGGAGAGCCCCCAGATTACCCACAGTTCAGTGATTCACCCAAAGGACTCATGGAACTCAGAAGTCATTACACTTACAGTCCTCACATTCAGTTACAGTTTATTAGAGGGACATGACATAAAGCAAAATCAGCAAAAGGAAAAGGCACATGGAGCAAAGTCCAGAGGAAACCAGGTATAAGCTTCCAAGAGTCCTCTATCAATGGAGTCACACAGGATGTGCTAATTCCTCCAGCAACAAGTTGACATGTGTGACACTTTCTCTACCAGGGAAGCTCATTACAGACTCGGCACCCAAGGCTTTTATTGGCACCTGATCACAAAGGCACCCCCTGCCTAGCACATACCAAAATTCCAGAATCCCAGAAGCAAAGCAGGTGGTCAGCATAAATCATATTGTGTACACAAATGCACAGTAAACCACCCTTATAATTTAGGGATAGTTTTATATCAATGTAGGAACTATTTACCAGCCAAGTTCCACAGGGCAGTGAAGAGGCAACCTTGCAAGCAGGCCTTTCTAATGAAAGCAGTTTCAGGCCTGCTACGTTAACTCCTTCTTGAGCACAGGGTATTAAGTTTAAGTAAGTCAGTGGAGTCTTCTCATCTGCTAGCTACTTCCTCCAAACTGAAAATACTGGCAATGGCTTCCTGGAAGGTCCTCAAAGCCCCCAGAATTCTGTTTTAATAAAATACTTACAGCTCAAACTGAAAATACAACATAAGTAGAGCCTACCACAGTCATCCAGAACAAAACAAAAATAAAACAAAAATATAAACCCAGAAATCTATAAAGCTATACCTGGTGGTGCATTCTGGAATGACAGTGACAGGTGCTCTTTGGCCCACAACTTAGTTGGGTACTGAGTTTTCTAAAAATGGTCAACTCATTTCTGTAAATACATTTTTCATAAATTGTAAAACTAGGTACTGGTATCCATCTTGATTTTCACATTTGTACCCTAACTGAATTAACTAAGATGGTAGCTTTAATTCAACTACTTTTACTGCCAGTAATGAAATAAATCATAGAAATAAATCATAAAACTATCTGAGCATCATTTCTCTCTTTTTCCTCTCTTCTGCCCAGGCACTACAGTATCCCACTTCAACTTGCCTCTAAAAATTGTGCTCCATTCTATGGACTTTCCAGTTTCTGCCCTCTCCTCCTATAATTCTTTCATCCAATCAGGACTCACTGTTTTCTAAGAGAGTAAGTAATTGGTCAGGGAAATTATTTTGTAACAAATTATTCATCAGGGGCCAATGTTAGTAGGAAAGAGCTAATCTCCCAATCTTTATTCCTTCCCTTTATTTTACTCTAATGAAACCGTCTTTCTTCTAATTACTATAAAAGTCATAATGCTCGATATTATTGTGAAAAATTAATAAAATATAAATGAAGAAAGGAAGATAATAAAAATCATCCCTAGGGATGCCTGGGTGGCTCAGTCGGTTAAATGCCTGCCTTCAGCTCACGTCATGATCCCAGGGTCCTGGGATAGAGCCCCGAATTGGGATCCCTGCTCAGCGGGGAGCCTGCTTCTCCTTCTCCCTCTGCCGCTCTCCCTGCTTGTGCTCTCTCTCTCTGTCAAATAAATAAATAGATCTTAAAAAAAAAAAAATCATCCCTAATTCTTCCTTCCAAAAAATCTAACATTGTCAACACTTTGCTATATCCTTCCATTGTTTTTACTATATATACACATGCATATACATGTGTTCTGGGTAGAATTGTGTCCCCCCTGAAAGATATGTTCAAGTCCTAACCCTAGTCCCTGTGAATGAGACTTCATTTGGAAATAGGGTCTTTGCAGGTCTAATCAGTTTAGGGTGAGATCATGCTGGATTAGGATGGACCTGAAATCCAATAACTCGTATCCTTATAAGAAGAGCAAAATATGGGGGCGCCTGGGTGGCACAGTTGGTTAAGCACCCGACTTGGTTTCAGCTCAGGTCATGATCTCAGAGTAACAAGATCGAGCCCCACATCAGACTCCACGCTCAGCACGAAGTCAGCTTAAGACTCTCTCTCCTTCTCCCTCTGCCCCTCCCCCTGCATGTGCACATGTACTCTCTCTCTCAAATAAATAAATCTTTGAAAAAAAAAAAAGAGCAAGATATGGACACAGAAGCACATTAAATAGATAAAACATGATTTATTTAGCCAGTACCACTTTGTTAGCTATTGGTTATTTCCAGTTTGTACTCTTATAAATAATGGCACACTTAACATCCTTTAATTGTGGTAGCTACTATAGTTACTTCTATTCCTAAAAGTTCAGACAGGCTATACCAATTTATGCTCCTATCAGCAGGATATGAATGTACTCCTTTCTCATCAACACTTTTTTATCTAACACTTTTGAATTTTATATGCTGAAAAAAGATTGCCAATTACTATTTTGTTTACCTTGTGAATAGTACCTGGGACAATGTAAGACTCAATAAATGATGAATCTTCTTTCATTGTATTATTGTTAATACTGAATCTATCTTTACCACACTGACCCGAAATGTCCATTTTATCATATATTAAATTCTTACACACACCAAGATCTGAACTCTCTGTTTTAATCCTGAATTTGTATCCCTTCCCTCATAATATACGGACATATGACGAAAAGAGACCTTCTCCAGTGTTCTTGACTTAAACTATTGGAGTTACTCTAATGGTAAAAATTTCAGTAAAGAAAAAAAAACCAAAGGGATGTGGGTGGGAAAAAATGGGAACAGAGAAGTTTGTAATCATACCCCCAAAATCACAGCTACTATCACAACCTAACCTTGGTTTCTTCACATACCAAGAGGTAGCCTCGTCTTCTTCTGTCTCCTTTGAAGAGGAGCTTCTTCTGGATGTTCTGTGGATTCTTTAGTTGGTGGCTCACTGCCCTCAGATGGCCTGCGAACAGAAGCCTGAACAAGGCCTTCCAAAGAAGCACTACCTACAGAAAAGCGAGTGGGAAAATGGGACAATTTGAGCAGAGCTCACACTCAGTCTTAAAAAGATGAAAAAAAAGGGAACCAGAATGGTTCCTAAAGGATGATTAACTGTCCTTTGTTACCTTTTTACCTATAACTATAAGAATTGGTCTTAACCCACACTTATATCAAATGATAAATTATAATAAATTCAGTACTTGGTATATCAAATCAATACTCAAAGTTTCTTTTTACTATATCACTACATACAGATCCAGATATTTTCACATCTTAAGACTTGTAAGAGGCAGCAAATAGAGTGAAAGGACCAGTTAAAGCCTGGTGATGGGTATTAAAGAGGGCACGTTCCGCATGGAGCACTGGGTATTAAAGAGGGCACGTTCTGCATGGAGCAAACAATGAATCATGGAACACTACATGAAAAACTAATGATGTAATGTATGGTGATTAACATAACATAATAATAATAAAAAAAGAATAGAAAAAAAATTAAAAGAAAGGGATTCTCAAGGAAGAAAAAAAAAAAAAGACTGAGGTTTCAAGCCTGAGTGAGCAGGAGAGTGGAGAATTCCATGAACAGAAATCTGTGAGAGGTAAAAATTGATTTCTTGTTGAAGGTAATGATGAATTCTGAACATGCTGAGTTTAAGTTACTGACAGAACATCCAGGATTATTAGCGGATAACGAAGACAAAAAGAAGTTCAAAGAACCTGCTCATTACAGAACCTCCAGTACATGGATGCTATGGCCCTGCCTTCAGACTCTTGCTCTAACAAAGAGATCCTCTGACTGAAATGAGGGATCCAAGGACCTGTGTCCAGTATCCCATTCAAAGGTCTGGAACCAATCATAGCTTAAGACAATTTATGCTTTCTAGGTATAAAAGACCTCAAAGAGTCCATGAATGTTGTGGAAGTAAGAGTTTAAGTGACACAATCCTTTATTCCATGGATGCTTCTAGACACCCTTCAGGCTGCCCACTGCCTTATTCTTCACTACCACCAGGAATCCTATTACTTTAAACTGACCTTGATTCTATCCTCAACACAGCAGTGACTTGGGACTGCTGGGGCCTTGCCTCTCCCTGATCTGTGATGTTTGTCATTCCTGAGGTCCTGGAAAGACTTGTGATCCCACACAAAAAAGAACAACTTCTTACCTGGTGTGTTTTTTGTTTTGGGCTTCTTTCTCTTAGGACGACTAAGTGGAATATCACCTATAAAACAGAAAAAACCACAGAAAAGGCTGCCTAAAATTCAATGCAGAGAACAGTCAAAAGGAACTTTTAGTAGGGAAGACTTTTCCCTCTCTTCCCTAGGTCCAGCCAACTTCTACACATTAGGGGAAGAAGACAAGAAAAATGAAAAATTTGGGGGTGCCTGGCTGGCTTAGTCAGTAGAGCATGCAACTCTTGATCTCAGGATCCAGAGTTCAAGCCCCATGTTGGGTGTGAGGCTACTCAAAAAAAAGAGGAAGAAATTGACAAAGTCAAAGAAAGCCTATAATGTGCCAGTAGCTCACTGTCGATCAGTAATATTGGAAACTGTAACATTTCTAATATCAGAAAAGTGGGCTCACAAAATCTTCATCTGATCCCCTACATTTCCCAGCCCCCTTGCACTAAGATGTGGCCTGTGACTGGTTTGGGCCATACACTGTGAGCAGAACCGATCTGCCAAAACACTGAAAGAGCCCGTGAGTAACTCTCCAGCTTTCTCTTCCTTTGCTGAAGCATGTTAAGATGGCAGAAGCACAGAATGGAAGTAGCCTGAATCACTACATCATTAGTGAAGAATGGTGAAAGACAATTGCCCTGGATTGCTGTCACAGTGCACTCTGCATTAACCAGAAATAACCCTGTATGATATTAAGTCAGAGATCTTGAGGTTAGTATAGCATAACCCAGTCTATCCTGATTAAATGAGACAAAAGAAAATGTAGTCCCTATTACAGAACTATAAAGTAGCCAATGGTTATATTCTGGGTGACTCCATTCAGGAATGAATCAAATATCAATCATACAACTACTGTTATATATCAAACCTCATTTAAAAAATAGGAGTCATAAGATTATTTTGATAAAAGGATATTGCAATATTATAAATTATACCATTCAGATTCAACTTTAAGAAAAACATTAAGGAATCAAATTAACTTTTGAACTCCCAATTTTAAAAGTTTTACATTAAGAGTGAACTAACTCACCTTGATTAGCACTTTACATGACACCGACCAAATTTAATTGGACAAAGACAAAAAAAAAGAAACTATTAATTAGAAATCTATTATATTGTCAGACTGAAAACTGACTTAGGTCATTATAAATTTAAAATAAAGTAAGCTTTCACACAGTCAGCTAGTTTATAAACTAGCTTATTCTTTGTAAGTAAAAAGCGAATAAAACCGCTAACAAAATAACCCCAATATTTTCTGAACTTACATATACATATTTCCTATTGTCTATTAATAAAGTGGATTATGCAGATTAAGAATTCTTATTTTGTCACTGATTAAAATCAGCTTAAACTCTGAGGAAACTATTCTAGCAAACAAAAGAGGATCAAAAGTCTGATAAACAAGACATTAAAACATTCAGAATGGATCCATTATCTTAAGCATGTTGACATTCAGGCTTTGAAACAGAACATTTAATTACAACTGCTTTCCTAATGATTCAAGTTTTTTTTACCTTTAAGCTTTTAGGAAGCCTTATCCTAAAATTTTCAAGAAGTCTTCTCTGAATTATTATAATTTTGCAATGGTACTAGTCAATTTTTTCACTTGATTCATTTTGCATTTTTAAAACTCAATGATAAAATTACTGTAACTTATTTTTACCTTGGCACAGGTGGAAGGGCTCGTGGAGGACGCTATGGGGAAAAGAAAATTGCTTGTAAGTAAAAGTCTCAGAACATCTTTACTTCAAGTACTTCGAATCTTTTGATAACCCTGTACATCCAATGAAACCTAGGAAGTACTAATGAGAATCAGATAGGCAATTCTAAATTTGTTCTACCATTTCTAAATTTCATATAAAATTCCTTCCTTCCTACACTCCTTTCTATCCAGAGACCAGGCTCTGTTCTAAGGACTACAAATACATTAATGAACAAAACAGAGAAATCCCCGCTTTTGGTACTTCCATTGTACTGGTTAAGTATTAGAAGATTATGAACACACACAAATGAGGGAGGCTGTGGAGTGTTCTTTAGTTAAGCAAAGTCTCTCAGAGATATTTGAGCTGAGACCTGAGTAAGAAAGGAGACAAAGGGGAGTAAATACAAAGCCTTTTAGGAGAGATAAGGCATGAGGGCCAGCGCAGGGAGCGGGTCGCCCCATTGGTTTTAAACCACACAGTAACATACTTTTAAAAAAAATCCCTGTGCAAACAGCATGAGGAACGCGTTTCAGGGTAGAGAGAATTAAAAAAGAAACACACACCTTATAAATGATACTTTACATGAAAAGAAAAGTTGTGTTTGCAGTTCAGAGAGATTACAGTTGGGAAGCATTCTGGAATCTTTCAAACTAAAATACTAACAGAAATGCCTCGAAATCTGTTTAATGTTCCAAGTGTCTCATGCGGCTTGCAGAGGACACTGACTCAAAAGGGTTACATTACCGTCCCATTTAGCAATCCGTTCGTTCGGTGTATTAATACGAAGGCTACGAGATTAGGACAAAGCAGGCTGTCTTAACACCATCCGGTCATTAAAATCACAACTGGAGAAGAACAACAGTCCTAAGAAAGAGCTATCGCAAAGATGCTACGGATCGCGTTCTGTCCAAGGATTCCGTTCACAAGACACTTCCACATTTCAAAAGTCCCGCAAAAATGACGTGTCACCCAGCCACAAGGCCAACCTCTGAGCCCCTCAAAAGTCGGACGGCTCAACCGAACACAAAAGCCTAATAACTCAAACGTAACTAAGGCTCGCTTACCACCTGCTTCTTCCCCATTGCGTCTAAAGCCGGGCTTCCCGGCAGCCACCCGCCGGCCGCCAGGCGCCCAGAGCTCACAGCCCGCCCCCTTCGGGCTCCGGCCCCGGCCGGCCGCGCGCAGGCGCCGTGCGTCATCCGACTGCGCGGCACTGGCCGCGGTGGCGCTCAGCCCCTGCTCTGCAAGAGGTGGGCGAGGGCCAGCGCAGGGAGCGGGTCGGGCCTTTGCGGTCTAGCCTTGTGGAAAAGGGGACGTCGGAGTAGGGGCTGACATGCCTGGGAAGAGAGTCTCCAGCGGGCGCGGGGCAGCAATCACGGTTCTACCCATGGTTTTCCAAGTGGTTACAGTGATTTGTTCGAGGGAGGTGGGAAAAGACCATGATTAAAAGTCTCCACTCGGAAACTCCGATCTCTTTCCTGGGTGGCTAAACGCCTTCCAGGAGGAGTCCGCAGGAAAGACCTAGCTGGCTGTCCCGGAACACCCAGGGGCTGGGAAGGCAACGTAGAGAGGCGTCGTCATAGCAACATGGACACTCAGGCCCCCGGAAACTTGACGCCCGGGTCCTCGCCTGGCTCCAGGAGTTCGGGTCCCGGCCTCGGGACGAACTTCCATCGCCCGCTCCGGTCCAAGCCTGTGAGCATCAAAGGGGCGGACGAGCAGACACCAGGAGCAGGGCTGTCCCTCTGCGACCCCCAGCCCTGGGCATCGGCCCCGCCCCAGGGGCTGCTGAGGCGTTAGGGCAGCACCCTCCGCTTCCGTCACTTCGCGTGGCGGAAAGCGCCCCTCACCGCTCACCGGCAGGGCCTCCAGCCGAAGCCCCGACTCCGCTCTCATGGCGCTCTCCCCACCGCGCTCCCTCGGCGCAACCGCCGGCGGCCCGAGCCCGGCTCCCCGCGCCTCTGCGTGCGGCACCTGCGACAGGCGGTGGCTACCCGCTGTCAGGTTAGGCCGCGGCTCTGGGGGCTAGGTCTCCGCCTGCCTTCGCTGGGCCATGCCCCGCCCTCGAGGCGTCAGAATTAGGGAGGGGCCGGGTTAGCCCTGTAGACCTCAGAATGGAATCACGCTTTTCAAGCAGTGACGTAATGAATCGGGAAGGCAGCCAAGGGCCACGAGTGAGTATAGACACTGCTCAAATCCAAACATGCTGTTAGTACCAAGAACTGATGATCAGCAAGGCCAAGACTGCCTGGAAGAACCAGGAACTGATAATCACTAGAACCAGAAGTCTGGAAGGGCTAAAGACCGATTAAACTCCTTTAGATAAAAATAATAATAATAATAAAAAATAAAAGAGGAGGATTTCTGTAGCAACCTGTCAGATTCTCCAGACGCTGACTCGTCTTCCAAGCCTGACTGCATTTGAAAGGCAACCTCCCGACTGATCTCAACAAAATAGAGACCCCTCCACTGCTTGAACATAATAAGCAGTAAGCACCCAGAGCTGACCCCTACCAGACTGAGTTTTCCTCTCAACTAGGCACTCACTCACTGACTTGGCGTTTGGTTCTTTAACTTCTTACCCTTGTATCTCGTTTATTATGTGACTTTGTATCGTTTCTTGTGTGGCGTATGTGAAGCCAAGTTAAACAGGCAGTGAGATGTCATTCAGGTTGGAATCCTACTCCTGTTAAAATTGTGTAAACCCTGCTTTATGAGTGAATAAAGCTGACATTGTGGAAAGACACAACTCGTGCACCGCCTTTGTAGAGTGCTAGAGATGCCCCCTTCTCCCCGCCCCCAAGCCCAATGTTTCAGGATGGGTATGTATTGATACAAATATCAGATTTCTTCCAGTTGTGTGTGTGTGTGTGTGTGTCTGTGTGTTGATACAGGCAACTCTCAAAATTTCACCAGTTGCTTATCCTCCATCTCTGTAAATCACGTTTGGGAAAGATTTTTCTCAAAAAAACAAACAAACAAACAAACAAAAACCCAACCAACCAACCAAACCCACAGCATAAATCAGATCCAAGTTCACGTTATCATTAAAAATGACTTAATTTTCTTTGGTTGGGTTTTTTTTTTTGGTGGGGGGGAAGGTTGGGTTTAATTTTTTCTTGGGTTTTTTTTTTTTTTTTTTTTTAAAGATCACTTCAAGTAAAAAACTAAAAATATTTTGAAGTATGCACTTGGTTTGTTTTATAGTTAAGAAAGATATTGGAGGGGTAGAGGGGTAGAGTGTGGGTATGGGGAACATTAGAGAATGATGCAGAAGACAGATACAGGAGCAGCAAGACTGACTGGAAGTCTCAAGACCTAGGGATGAAAGAAAAATAAGACTTCCTGGAATAGCAGTCTCATCTTACGGTTTTCTCAGATACCGATCTCTAGGACTAAAGTCAATTGCCCTTTCCTAATTTAGGCGTGATGTGGATATTGGCTTTTAGGCAAATTAATGATGGTTACAGCTCTGATCAGAAGAATAATTTTTTCCTTGTAGACTGATGTATAAATGATGAGGGCAGTGCCATTTCTGTACGTTTTCATGTTAGATGTGAAATGTGTACATTAACCCTTTTTTCTTGCCGAGTCAGTCAAGTAGGCACTTTTGTAAAAGCCGTTTTCATAAAACAGAAATTGCATGAGGTTAAATACAGTTTCTGAAATTAAGTACTACTTATTTTATTTAGGGAAGCTCTTTTATCTGAATTGTACAAAGACCATACGAAATCTATAAAAGGGTTTCACACTCAGTGGCTTAACATTGTTTGTATTCTTACCACTGCTGCATATGAGGTAAAGGAAAACTTTTTTTTTTTCCTGAAAGCCAAGGAGGTAATTCTACATGCATACACTGCAAATATTTTTTTCAAATAAGCTTAATGAATAAACTGCACCACGTTTAAAGTTGCATACATTACAAAGGGAGCAAATACTGTTGTTTTGCTTTGCAGCCGTTATTCCAGAGCTCTGTTACAGATGGGTATAGTTACAACTCTGGCACAAAGCAGGAGGCTTCCTTAACACTCAGTATCCGAGGAAACCCACGGTGCTGGTACCCACTGAGGCTCCTCCTGAGCCTTCTGAACAGCAGACAACAACTGGGCACATGCATCTTGCAAGTTGTCATTCACAATCACATGATCAAAAAACTGGCCAAACTGTGCCTCCATTTTTTGGGCTAAATCCTCCATCTCTTGTAGATCTTCATCCTTTATGAGAGATTTAAAAAAAATATATATGGATAGCAACAGACTTAATGAGATAAATAGAAATGATACCCAATTTGTTTTGCTGTTATATTCAGTTGTGAAGCTATTTACGAAAACACTTAGGTCAAATAAACATCCTCTCTTCTAAACCACAAAATTTATGTTTCTATCTTTAGCCTTACTTAATGTTTCCCTGGTCAAGGTTTTGCAAAACTAAGTAATGGTAGCCAGAACAATCCCCTCAACTTCCCATTTGGACTCAAATTTTCTTATTCTATTATCTAAACACTTGAAGCTTTCAAACTGTACATAAAAAAAAAAGAAAGAAAGAAGAAAGGAAGAGAAAGAAAAAAAAAACAAATTTACCAGTTAAATAGAAAACTTTTACATAAATTGCAAATGAAGTTTTATAAAGTAAAATACAGTTCCTGAAATTAAATACTGATAAGAATGACATTATTTTGCCACTTTCAACATGAGGATGGTATGACCTGGTTCTAGTGAATTAGGCATACCCTAATTGTCCTTTGCTTCATGCTGACATGACCTAAATCACCTTTAATATTATCCATTTCCAGTAATACGAAACGTTCATTTAGTGAAGGTCATTTGACCTTCATTTGGCACTATGCGTTAAGTTCCTTGCTGTTATTTTCTTATTTGTCCACAACAATTAAAATAGTACAACTTGGGGCGCCTGGGTGGCTCAGTCGTTAAGCGTCTGCCTTCGGCTCGGGTCGTGATCCCAGGGTCCTGGGATCGAGCCCCGCATCGGGCTCCCTGCTCCGCGGGAGGCCTGCTTCTCCCTCTCCCACTCCCCCTGCTTGTGTTCCCGCTCTCGCTATCTCTGTCTCTGTCAAATAAATAAATAAATAAACTCTTTAAAAAAAAAAAAGATTTAAAAAAAAATAAAAATAAAAAATAAAATAGTACAACTTGTTGCCAGTGCAATCATAAACACAAATAGATATCGCTACTGACTCTTGACTCCTGGCTGGCGATGAGTTGCAACGGAGGAAGAATCCCCAAGAGACACGAACTGGTGAAGGGGTTGAAGAAGATGGAGAAGGTTGACCAAGATGCTGAATTAGTGGCCCAATGGAACTATTGTACTCTAAGTCAAGAAATATTAAGGCGACCAATAGTTGCCTGTGAACTTGGCGGACTTTATAACAAAGATGCCGTCATTGAGTTTCTATGGGACAAATCTTCTGAAAAGGCTCTTGGGAAGGCAGCATCTCACATTAAAAGCATTAAAAATGTGACAGAACTAAGGCTTTCTGATAATCCTGCCTGGGACGGGGACAAAGAAAACACAAAAGGTGACAAACACGATGACGTCCAGCGGGCACGTTTCATCTGCCCCGTTGTGGGCTTGGAGATGAATGGCCCGCACAGGTTTTGCTTCCTGCGGTGCTGTGGTTGTGTGTTTTCTGAACGAGCCTTGAAAGAGATAAAAGCAGAAGTTTGTCACACACGTGGGGCTGCCTTCCAGGAGGACTACGTCATCGTGCTCAACGGCACCGAGGAGGACGTGGAAACGCTGAAGAGGAGGATGGAGGAGAGGAGGCTGAGGGCGAGGCTGGGGAAGAAAGCAAAGAAACCCAAGGCGGCAGAGTCTGTCTCAAAGCCAGGTGTCAGCGAAGAATCCCCAGGGCCATCAAAAATTAAGACGGGGAAGCCTGAAGAAACCAGCCTTGATTCTAGAGAGAAGAAAGGCAACTCAGCTCCCAAAAGTGCAGCAGCAAATGGGAGCTCTTCTGGAAAAGTCGGGAAGCCTCTGCGTGGAACCACAAAGAGGTCCATTGCCGACAGGAAGAATCGGAAGTTTACAAGTCCCTTTTCACGACTCACAGCTCCGCCAAGCGCTCCAAGGAGGAGTCCGCCCACTGGGTCACCCGCGCGTCCTACTGTTTCCGAAGCCCGTGCCCCGCTCCACGCCGCGCAGGCGCCTCGGGTTTCCGCGGGGCAGGTGGCGTGGGCGTTACTGTGCCCTGTTCCCTGCTAGCTCTCCCTTGGCGCCGAGCTGTAAAGTCGTCCTCCCAACCTCGGAGCTGGTGTGGTCGCTTGTGCTTGTGAGGCGCGTGGGTTCCCGAGGGGACGTGCAGGCCCTGCCCGCCCCCTCCCACAGGCTCGTGCCCTCCCCACGGCCCCGGAACATGCGTGGCTGCACTTTTTACGCTTGAGATAAAGACTCCAGATCCCTTGGGGTGTGTGGTTGGCCCATTTTGCCTAAAATTCTAATGATTTTGCTGCCAACCGTGGAACAGGCCAAGCAAAATTGTACTTTAGAAAGTGAGCTTTACATGCACTCCGCCTGCACGTCTGTTTGCTGGCAGCCTCTGTGCCCCCCGAGCAGAGCTTGCCGGTCGAGTGTTTAGGGAGGTTCCTTTCTTTTATCACTTTCAAGACGAAAGCCTTTTAGTTGGGCACCTGAGGGTTTGGTATAAAAATAAAGCAAGTCCGCCCTTTCTCTCAAAAAAAAAAAAAAAAAAAAATCATAAACACAAATGCAGGCGCTGAAATGTCGTAGCGGTACTCCTTTACAAGATGACCATACTCATGACCCAGAAACAATTTTGTTAATTTGTTTAGATCACCATAAAAATGAGAACACAATTTTAAATGCCCGTAAGATTCAGAGAATATATCCATGGACTCCACTGTCTGAAATGCAAACTGAAGAATCAGACTTTCATACAGTAGTCACAAAAAATACGAAGATAGAAATAATAACAAGGGATTATATAATAATATAATCTTGCTCACTTCAGCAGCACATGTATTAAATTGGAAACAATACAGATAAACATGGCCCCTATGCATGCAAGACATGCAAATTTGTGATGCATTCTATATGTTTAATTTCACTTTTATAAGATGAAAAATTCTAGAGATCTGTTTCACAATGTAAATATACTTAACACTACTGAACTGTACAGTTAAAAATGGTTAGGATGGTAAGTTTTGTGTTTTATGTGTTTTTTACCATACACACACACACACAAAATAAGTGAATATAATATCTTGATCTAGGTGATGGTTATCTGGGTGCATGCACAGGTAAAAATTCATTGAGCTGTTACATATAAGATTTATACATCTTGCTGAATATTTATGATTATTTAAAATAGTTAAGGTGGATTTAATTTAAAAAAATGAAAAAAAATTACCTATTCTAGGAAGAGTTCACTGATTAATCCCACTTGTCCCGGCCTCTCTATAATTTCCATCATCATTAATACATGATGTTTGCATTTAGAAATACATTTTATAGAGATACCTCATATTACAGATAAGATATATTCACCACAGCATTTTTAAAAAAGATTTTATTTATTTGAGAGAAAGAGCATGCAAGAGCAGGGAGGGGGCAGAAGCAGGGGGAGAGGGGCAGAGGGGGAGGGAGAAGTAGATTCCCCGCTGAGCAGGGAGTTCGAGGGGGGTGGGGGCTCAATCCCAAGACCCCGGGATCATGACCTGGGCCAAAGGCAGACACTTAACCGACTCAGCCACCCAGGTGCCCCATTCACTACAGCATTTTTAAAGTAAATTCTCAAACTTTTTCATTCAATAAATAATAAAATGTAAACGTCAGTCTTATGCACACCCAGTTTCCGTGTGGCTTTGCAAACTCTGGTTTGAGTTCTTTTTTTTTTTTAAGCTAGACTAGAAAAAAGAAAAAAATAAGAGCAGCATCATGGCATTTATTATACTTTATTTTAATGTCTACAAATCATGTCCAGTAAAAAGGATAAATCATAAGGGCATTTTTCATTAGAAACAAAAATCACATTCCTTAACATAGGGATGTTGTGGAAACAATACAGTGACTTTTTACTAGAAAAAAAAATACATTCATCTATTTCCTCTGTGTCTTACCTTGAACTTCATGTCCACAAAGTAGTCTGTAATGATCTTGGCATTTTTCCGAGATTCCTTCATACAACTCATGTTAGGTGGCTTTATAAATATGACATAAGGCTTCAGTTCCCGGGTTCGAGCTACTTGAATACCCTACACAGAAAAATTAAGTGCACATTTAAAAATAGAAGTCTTAATTTCCTAGAGTAAACACAAATGTTCTCAAAATTTCTCAGATCAGGAATCAACGATTATCGGGGTGCCTGGGTGGCTCAGTCATTAAGCATCTGCCTTTGGCTCAGGTCATGATCCCAGGGTCCTGGGATCCAGCCCTGCATGGGGCTCCCTGCTCAGCGGAAAGACTGCTTCTCCCTCTCCCACTCCCCCTGCTTGTGTTCCCTCTCTCGTTGTCTCTCTCTCTGTCAAATAAATAAAATCTTAAAAAAAAAAAAAATCAATTATTTTTAGCAATTTTTTTTTGTTTGTTTGTTTGTTTGTTTTATTCTTATGTTAATCCCCATACATTACATCATTAATTTTAGATGAAGTGTTCCATGATTCATTGTTTGTGCACAACACCCAGTGCTCCATGCAGAATGTGCCCTCCTCAATACCCACCACCAGGCCAACCCATCCTCCCACCCCCCTCCCCTCTAGAACCCTGTTTGTTTTTCAGAGTCCATCATCTCTCATGGTTCGTCTACCCCTCCGATTTCCCCCGCTTCATTCTTCCCCTCCCGCTACCTTCTTCTTCTTCTTCTTTTTTTTTTTTCTTAACATGTATTGCATTATTTGTTTCAGAGGTACAGATCTGAGATTCAACAGTCTTGCACAATTCACAGCGCTTACCAGAGCACATACCTTCCCCAGTGTCTATCACCCAGTCCCCCCATCCCTCCCACCCCACCCCCCACTCCAACAACCCTCAGTTTGATTCCTGCGATTAAGAATTCCTCATATCAGTGAGATCATATGATACATGTCTTTCTCTTTTTGACTTATTTCACTCAACATAATACCCTCCAGTTCCATCCACGTCGTTGCAAATGGCAAGATCTCATTCCTTTTGATGGCTGCATAATATTCCATTGTATATATATACCACATCTTCTTTATCCATTCATGTGTCGATGGACATCTTGGCTCTTTCCACAGTTTGGCTATTGTGGACATTGCTGCTATAAACATCGGGGTGCATGTACCCCTTCGGATCCCTACTTTTGTATCTTTGGGGTAAATACCCAGTAGTGCAATTGCTGGATCATATGGTAGCTCTATTTTCAACTTTTTGAGGAATCTCCATACTGTTTTCCAGAGTGGCTGCACCACCTTGCATTCCCACCAACAGTGTAGGAGGGTTCCCCTTTCTCCGCATCCCCGCCAACATCTGTCATTTCCTGACTTGTTAATTTTAGCATTCTGACTGGTGTGAGGTGGTATCTCATTGAGGTTTTGATTTGGATTTCCCTGATGCCGAGCGATGTTGAGTGCTTTTTCATGTGTCTGTGGGCCAGATGGATGTCTTCTTTGGAAAAATGTCTGTTCATGTCTTCTGCCCATTTCTTGATTGGATTAGTTGTTCTTTGGGTGTTGAGTTTGAAAAGTTCTTTATAGATTTTGGATACTAGCCCTTTATCTGATATGTCATTTGCAAATATCTTCTCCCATTCTGTCGGTTGTCTTTTGGTTTTGTTGACTGTTTCCTTTGCTTTGCAAAAGCTTTTTATCTTGATGAAGTCCCAATAGTTCATTTTTGCCCTTGCTTCCCTTGCCTTTGGCGATGTTTCTAGGAAGAAGTTGCTTCGGCTGAGGTCAAAGAGGTTGCTGCCTGTGTTCTCCTTTAGGATTTTGATGGACTCCTGTCTCACATTGAGGTCTTTCAACCATTTGGAGTCTATTTTTGTGTGTGGTGTAAGGAAATGGTCCAGTTTCATTCTTCTGCATGTGGCTATCCAATTTTCCCAACACCATTTGTTGAAGAGACTGTCTTTGTTCCATTGGATAGTCTTTCCTGCTTTGTCGAAGATGAGTTGACCATAGAGTTGAGGGTCCATTTCTGGGCTCTCTATTCTGTTCCATTGAAAGCAATTTATTTTTATTTATTCTCCTTTGCCCCCAATTCCTCAACTCTAAAAAATAAACATTTTAATAATTAAGAGAATCAAAATTAAGTTTAAACTGTGGCTCTTCCTCTTACTAGTCATGACACCCTTCTGAAATCTGAGAATAGGATTCTATACATAATCTCATGGCACAAAGACAAAGACAAACTCTAAAGGTGGATCAGTTCTGTTTCATCCTCACTTCCCTTTCCTCTTGTTATTATCTTATATTGGATACTACTGACATGTTCACACTGACCACCAGCCTTGACCCAAGGATGAACAACTGTCTTATCCCCTGATTCTCTTTAGCGCATGTGGTCTATTTTTAAATGACTACAAAAAAAACCCCAAAATACAAGGATCAAAAAAAATGGAGCCTACACATTGTGTGCTTTTTATCTTACCTGGCTCACTCCTGCCTCATTCCACATATGGTCTCAGAGGGAGCTGTAGATACAACCACATAGGAACCTCACCTCCTTGTGTCAAGCAACATATTCCCTCCACCAATTTCCTTGATGCCTTTGTGATCAAGGTCAAAGCAGGATTCAAACTTTTCTTTATAGCCACCAGCTCAGTTCTCTTTTTGTATCTGAGAAGCAAGACTCCTTTCCTAACTAAAGACAAGATATTGGTGAACTGTTCCTTCACATAAGATCCTGGCCCTTAGATATGGTAAGTGGTCTTATCCCTAAAAGGCTAACAGAATAAAATGTCTCAACTACAACTTACAGCATGTGCACAAAACTCATGACATTCATTCATTACTTTGGGGAGATGGGAAACCTTCCACTACACACCTACCTGAGGCTCTAAGTCCATGACACAGATCTTTCCTTCATCAAGGACTGTTTGAACAGCATCCACACTTGTGCCATACAGGTGGCCTTTGTACTCACCATACTCGAGCATCCTGCAAGGGTGCCACAAAGAGAACAAGAACTCTTTCTACAAGTAAAATATTACTAGTAGTAACATAGATAGGATGTAAATATGTGGACTTCGCCAGCACAAGTGGAAAATTGACAGGAAAAAAAATATTAAAGGATCTAGGACTTAACTCTTTCTCCAAAGTCTCTAAAATTTGCAATTTCAATTCTGCTCCCACTCCAAACCCAATGAGTTAGTGTACAAGTCTACCAATTTACATGTTCTTGCTTAACTCTTCAGAAACAAAAGGAATTCCCCCAGAAAACAAAAGGAATTACCCCAAAAGGAATTTGGGTAACGCATAAAAATAGTGGATCTATTTTGAAGGTAAAATAACCAAAGGAGGGAATTAGATTCTGAACGTCTAGCTTACCTGTGACTATACACGAGGCTTTCAAATGCTTCCTTTGACACATAGTGATACTCACGTCCATCCATTTCATAACTCTTTTTGGAGCGAGTAGTATCTATCAAAATATGGAATTTTTAAAAAAGTCTTTAGAATCTACAAATTGTTTTGATTTAGTACAAATATACATCTGGATAAAGATGTCCAATCAATATAAATAAACGAATACATAAACAGATAAATAAAATGCTAGAACCAAAAAGAGGGATCCTGAACTGGGGATAAGAAAGAAGTTCTCATATCTAAATCAGTTCATCTAGAAACCTTTATTAAGTGCTCATGGTATGGACATGAATGTGTTAAGTGTTAAGTCAGGATGGGGAGGACCGAAGGGGTACCTGCTCTTACTTCAAAATAGGCATGAATGAATTATGTGTGAGGCTTAAGATGCCTAAAAGCCCCCAGCACATAAGATATCTTCTGTTTAGATAGTGCATTTCCCAAGATCCCATTTCATTCCTCCCCCACCTAGCCAGATGAAATGTTATTATCCATAGTTTACTGATAAGTAACTGAAGATTTTATTTTATTTTTTTAAAGACTGAATTTATTTATTTGGTGGGGGAGGAGCAGAGAGAGAGATAGAGAGAGGGAGAAGCAGACTCCCTGCCGAGCAGGGAACCCGATGTGGGGCTCGATCCCAGGACCCTGGGATCACGACCCAAGCCAAAGGCAGACACTTAACCAACTGAGCCACCCAGGTGCCCCATAACTGAAGATTTTAGAGAGCAACTAACTTGCTTGTGTATACAGACGATGCCCGACTTGATCGCATGACCCTGAGATCACGACCTGAGCCCAAACCAAAAGTCAGATGCTCAACCAACTGAACCACCCAGATGCCCGTTTTTTCTTTATTCAAGCCTCTCTGCAGATCGTTAGAGTTTCTACAGTTATGCCACTTCTCCTATAGATTTGTATTGAAAAAAAATTATAATAAAACACTATAGCTCTCAGGTTACAGTAAATTATGTAAATATAAACTTAAGATGACTCCTTCTCCGTGGCTTCTACTGGACTATATTTTATATGGTAGGTTAAAAATCTGTGAACTGGTGCATAACTAGAGGTATTCATCTTAAACTTAGAAACTATGCATTCAATTTAAAAAGCAAAATATGCACAACATTTTCTCACTTTGAATGATGGCTAGTCATACTTCTTACAGTTCCTCTATGTTCTGTGGGAATTTTATTTTTATCCAGATTATTGAAAATTGGTGCTTCATTTTGTAGTTTTTGTTTTGGAGATCAATGTCCATTCTTACACTTGTGAACAGTGTTTGGAAAGCATAACCTAAGGTATGTGACCATAAAGCAATGTTTTCTGTCCCCCACTGCCTTCTGTGGTACAAGACCTTCCCCTGGCCCTGGATGAGAATCTAGCAGTTACCATGACTCTTCTGATTATTCTTAGATTTAAAAAAGGGGGGGCACCATCTTTTGTGCCACAAAATGCAGTCTCAATGTAATAACTAAAACTCCGTTCCTATGTAATAATCAAAATTATTAATTTCATTTCTATTTTGGATTTCTCCTCCTCCCCACACCTGGCTCAGACTTGCTACAGCCACAAAAGCTGCAGTCAGAGAAGCTAAAAGTCAGGAAAGGAAGTAGGATTCACTTCTTCCCTTCCCTTTCATTGCCTTTCTACTATTCCTCCCCAGTTTTATAGCTATCCAAGGCTAGAATGCAGAGAAGAGAGGAAAGAGCAGGAAAATTCTTACTTCCTGACGCTGATGCTGGATACTATAGGTTTCCTTTAGACTTGGCAGATATTTAAATGTGGCTCTGCTCTCCTGGAGGACTCTGGGCTATTCTGCAAACCCCACCACCACCACCACCACCACCGAGTATCTCAAATCTGTCTCTATTCCAGCTAGTCATTTGTGATTTCTAAAAGGGCAGCTACTTCCCAAACTACAGCTCCTAGCCACTCCTCTAAATTCTTTAGATTTTTCAAGAATAAATCTGACACCGGTCATCTGTGTACCCCAGACTGCAGGGAACACATACTAAGCTCTTAAGTGTTTCTCTAAGTTCCTCTCTTGAACTGAAGTGAAGGGAAAGCACCCACGTGTACTTGCTCTTCCCTGCCATGGATGGTATGATCATACTTACAGTTTATATAAAATTACACCTGCATACATTAAAATTTTAAAAAATAAGATAAGGTATTTAAAGAGCCAAGCACAGTGCCAGGAAGGCAGTAAGTACTATTATTACTTAGCTATTATTACTAAATACTAGTTTTCCTGAAGGGTCATCTATATGATTGTTAAGAAATGGAAAAGAGACAGTCACCTTTTAAAAGCCTAGCAAGCTACATGGCCATGAATCAGTTCCCTCTGTTAAAATAAATATAGTTAGAAATAGTATATAAGGACTATCCCTGGTGTCTTTTGTTTTTACAACAAAAATGGTATGGCATAGTTAACTGAGATTGGTGCATCTGCGGAGGCAAAGACAGTTTGACCAAAACATGAACTGCTGGGAAAGAAAAACTACACGTACGTGGCACAGCACTTTGGAAATGCTTAGGATTAAGTTCAATGAGTTGTCTTCTCAGTTCATTGACTCCAACACCAGAAGGTCCTAAACACAAAAGGCCACATACAGAAATCATTAGACATAGATAAATATAATTATGTGGTGACATAATCATTTCAGTTCTTCTATTGAAGACAATTGAGAGCAAATGTTTTTCAGGAAATTAAATATCTTTTCTTCTCACCAACTGAAACAATTCCAGAAAGCTCTTAGGAATTTTCCTGGGGACCAACGGAGTAACCCACACTTCTTCAACATCACAGAAATAAGCCGGGGAATTACAGGAATTGGTCACACCAGCAAACGTCATCTAATGTTGGGCACTCTGAGAATTCTCTGGCCTCATTTCAGATAATCTACCGAGAAAACCTACCTTTCCAGTCAAATGAAGTGTCTATCACATCACAACCCAGAAATCAGCCTTTAGATTTACGGGTTCTGTGAGTCAGCACCCCATGTGTAACTGGAGTCAGGGCTGACTTCATGCAGTTACATAGGGCCCATGCTTAGGATACTGCACTTGGTTTAATGTTCTCCCTGTACCATCTTGAAATGTTAAACTTTTTTTTTTTAAGATTTATTTTTTTATTTCAGAGAGAGAGAGAGACAGAGAGACAGAGAGGGCACGAGCAGGAGGGGCAGAGGGAGAGAGAAACTTAAGCAGGCTCCACGCCCAGCGAGGAGCCCAAGGTGGGGCTCTATCTCACACCCTGAGATCATGACCTGAGCTGAAGCTAAGAGTTGGAGTCTTAACCAACTATGCCACCTAGGCACCCCGAAATGTTAGTCATGTTTAAAGAAGCTCTTGTATTTTCATTTTGCCCTGAGCCCTGCCAATTCTGTGGCCGGGCCTGGCGGTAAGGCACGCTGTTCTGCTGTACCGGGGCCTCACCTGGTCACAGGTGGAATACACACAGAGATGGCAGCAAGACCTACGTCCCCACTGCTGCAGGGACCGGCTTTGCAGAGCTCTTGGTCACAAAAGCAGGTCACCCCAGTACTGTATTTGCCCTGTTCTTTAGCACCAGACATACAGTCCAAAAGACTTTAAACACTTCTCTAAAGAAGGTGATTACAAATATCTCAGGGAGGGGCGCCTCGGTGGCTCAGTCGTCAGGTCATGGTCCCAGGGTCCTGGGATTGAGCCCCGCATGGGGCTCCCTGCTTAGCAGGAAGCCTGCTTCTCCTTCTCCCACTCCCCCTGCTTGTGTTCCTGCTTTCACTCTCTGTCAAATAAATAAATAAAATCTTTAAAAAAACAAATATCTTAGGGAAATAGATCTTAAGGATTTTCATTTCTGATACAGACTGATAATGCAGTCTGGGGGAATACTCATCTATGCTTAGAAAACAAACTCTCAGCAGGTTAAAAAACAAAACAATCTTCATCATAATACAATCTGTTATTACCCCAGTACCTACATACCGGGGCATACCACACTCAACTGTATGCAATAAAAGCGTGAGACAACGAAGTCTTATTTATAAACACACACATACAAAACAGGGGGTTTTTCCAGGCGTTTATAGGGGAGTCGCTCAAGAACGCTACTTTTGCCACTACTCCCAACGCCAAACCGCCGAATCTTAGCGGGAAAAGCTCGCCGTGGAGGAGGAGGGCCGCCGAGAGCAGGGACGTACCCACGAGCACGATGAGGCGGTGCCTATCGGACGGGCGGCGCTGGTACCTGACCACCTCCTCGTAGGGCGCGCCCGGCGCGCTGGAGCCACCCAGCCGCGCGCGCAGCGGGCCCAGGTGGGACTTGCGGCGACAAAGGCGCATGCTGCGGCGGAAGCCAGCTGCGAGGGTGGGAAGGCACAGGACGTCACATGCAGGCAGGAGAGATCACTTCTCCTCCACGCCTGATGGAGCCCGCGGTGACTGCCATCGGCAAGTGTTAACGAGCATCATCACGCCTGTCTGAAGGTAGAAAAGAGGAAGCAACGCGAAGGAAAAATAGCAGAAAGCCCCACATATTGCCTCTAGGCTGCACCCAGTGCCCCCCATGTGCCAGGTGCTGGGGACCTGGTGGTCCACTACCTCAAACCCATTTCCTCCTGACATTTACATTTCATGGAGGAGGAGAGAGAAAAGTAAACACATCAACAAAAATAAGGGCTTAGAAGGTGGGTGGATAGAGTGACAGGGGTACTTCTTCACGCAGGTGGTTCAAGGGAAGTGTGTGTGAAAAGGTGACATTGAGCAGAGGTGGGAATGAAGTCACGGAGCCAGGTGAGGAGGCGTCTAGGGAAAAAGCAACCCAGGCTAAGGGAACAGCAACTGCTAAGGTGCAGAGAACAGAGTGTTCCCGGAGTGTTGGGGGGAAGCACAAGGAGGCCCTGGTGAGGCAAGGTGGTGAGCAGCAAGGAGAATGGTAGGAAATGGGGCTGGTGAGGAAGCAGGGGAGGTGGCAGGGGGCTCCAGCTGAGTGTTGGATTGTGGTCCAAGGGCGCTGAGAAGTCACTGGGTGGTAGAGAAATGGGTGTGACATGGTTTACGTTTCTGAAGAAGTCCTCTGTTGCTGTGGGGAGGACGTAAAGTGTAGCTTCACAGGAGAGCAGTTGGGAGGCCCTTGCGGTGCCCCGGAGGATAGTGGCCTGGGCCATGAGGGAAACAGTGCAGCAGGCTGATTACCCACAGTTCTCAGATGGATACTCTAAGACACAGACAGGTCCGGTGGCTGCTCACAACGGTGTGATCAGTGGCACAGCTGGACACTAGCCTTGGTTTCTGAACTTCTAGAATCCTGCTTCATCTGCCTACCAAATCTCAGGGCCTTCTGGTATTTTCAAAAAAGAGCTGTTCCCAGGTCCTTCCCGGAGATAGAGTTCTGGACTCTGTGTGTATATAAACACACGCACACACACACACATCTGTATCTATCTATATATGTTGCACACCAGGAGTTCGCACCAAGACCTACAATGCAAGCTCAACACTACAGGATTCATTCCAGCCACCTGCCCCCACCCTTGCCGTACATGCAACTCCTTTCTCAACAGTGAGAAACCTGACCGATGGTCCAAAGTACATTTACTTGTATTAATCGAAAGCACCTGTGCAGGACGAGGGACGGATGGTATCAGCAACGTGGCAGGAAGTGTCAGAGGCCACGCGAGGTGAGGAGGCCATCTTTGTAGAGGCTGCGAAGTGTCAGAGCCCAGGGGAGGCCGCGGTCCTCCTCACTTTGCTCTGGCCCTGACGACCTGTACCAGGCGACCCTTGTCCCCTGCACAAAAGCTCTCCTCACACGGCTCAGTGATGCCCCACCCCAGGCTGCTTCTTCCCCACCTTTGTGCAGACGTCTGCTTTTTTGGCTTATGTAATGGCATTGGGGCTGAGGTATTCTTGAAGGGATGCAGAAAAGTGGTCCCATGGTTTTTTGTTTTTTTTAAAGCTCTCTCAATGATTCCAATGTGTATCCAGGCCCGAGGAACCAACATTTCACTTTACCGACCCTGCTGTTCCCCCACTGTCTCTTGGAGGAGACCCAGCATGGTTTTACAGGAACCTTTAAATGGGTCCTTCAGAAAGCTCTGACCAGTTGACGGATTACAGAAATGTGGCCATCAACACCAAGTTTAGTAGTCAGAGAACTGGTCTCTTTAGAGTAACATAAGTATGTCATGAAACAGTCTGGAAGAGAACCAAGGATTTGTGTTTGATGAATAATTAAGAGCTATCCAGTAGAAACCAGATGAATTATAATGAGTGATCAACACAGCAGAATATGGACCCAAAAAAAGGAGTTGGGGGATAGAGGAAAGCAGAACAAGGAACAAGTCTGGAAATGTTCATTGGCAAAAGAAGCTTTCAGAAGAGTCAGGATGGTATGAATAAAACTTGACAAGTGACAACGACCCACCTCTTATTAATCATTACCTACCGATAAAGAACTTCTGACCAGAGCCAACAAATTCCTCCTTGTCTGGAACACAGAGAATGGCAGGACCAGAATATGTGAAGGGGGAGAAGGAGAAGGTTACTTAGAACAGATGCATGAAACTATCTTCAAATCTGCAAGTGACACCATTTCAGAAGATGTCAGCACAGCTGACTTCATCCTGAATGGCTTCTTGAAGACTGTCTTAAGCACCTTCCAGTCTATCACATGAACCCAAACTATGTGGAAACACTCTTCAGAATTTTAGCAATACGCCGAATCTATTCTGTCAAGTACAATTGAAACAAAAAGCTATTTTAGGCTTGTTTCAAGTTATAAGAAAGATATTGAGTCACTGTAAAAACAAATAAAAATTAGGTATACATTGTTAAACATGCCCAAAGAAAACTGACTTAAAAAAGGAAACAGGTGAATTGGCTTTGGCTTCAACTTGTAGAAATGGTGTTCTGCAGGACCTATGATTAGTCCCTTTGTGAGAGGTGGGTTTTTATTTTCTCCCTGATAAAATGGCTTATTCTGTATAAAATTAGTACTTCCTCTATGGCTGCCTGTTGTGTCTGACTGACCAGGAATCTGAGAGACAAGGGTGAGGAACACTAATCCCAGTGGCTCTGAAGCACCTAGAATTTATTTAAACTCCTGGCTTCCACGGGGGTCTCAGAAAAATTCTTATAAACTCCAGGGGAAAAAATGTTATAAAAATGTCATTTTCAAATTACTTTTTATGAATATATGTTCCTTTTCACTTATGCAACTCTGTTCTGATCATTGAAATATATAAAGAGCCATTGTCCGTAGAATGAACTGACATATACATTTTCTTCTTAACCTTTTTTTTTAAATGTACATGTTAAAATATAAAGAAAACGCACCAATATCAATTCCATTTTCTGTTAAGTAAGCACATTTTTCTAACTGAAGTATGTCAGGGTTTTTTTTTAGTTTTTTTCTTTTTCAAATTTTTATTTAAATTCTAGTTAGATAAAATATAGCGTAATATTGGTTTCAGAAGTAGAATCTAGTGATTCATCACTTGCATATCACACCCAGTGCTCATCACAACAAGTGCCCTCCCTAACGCCCAACCCCCATTTAGCCCATCCCCCACCCACCTCCCCTCCAGCAACCATCAGTTTGTTCTCTGTAGTTAAGAGTCTCTTATGGAAACATTTACTTAGGAATATATTCATAAAGCTTAACTACTTTCATTGTTCATTTTTAAATATTTTTCTGTGAAATTGACTATCTCATCGCCAATTTCACCCTTAAAATATTTCTTATCTTAAAATTTATCCTGTCAAGCATGCACATTGAGGCACTGAAAGATCTTAAATATAGCTCTATGTGGCTTACCCAGGAAATGAAAACAGTTACCTTCTGAAAGCTCCTCTGGGTATTTGGGTAAGTGAAGAAACAGACATGACAAAGTTAAGTCTTTGAGAAGATCAAGTTGGCCATCCAATAAAGACCAGTGACAAAGGCAAGGCATTCATGTCACCCCTAGAGAAGGTTATAACTCAGGTAGGCCTGGCAAGGCGAACTCATTGGACCTGACTGTGCTGCTGGGAGAATAATAACTTTTTCTACAAGTTTTTTATCTACATTCTCCCTGAGGGCTTTTTGTCTAGGGAGACTCCTCTCTACTGGTCAGCACAAAATAGGGCTTGAGAGAGAAAAATTATAGGGAGGCAACTGCTGTGAGCCTCCTCTCTCCTCTCCCAGAGGCCGTATGCTGCGGTCTGGTGAAGTGGGCCTTGGGGTGGGCGCTGCGGCAGCCTCTGGCCTGAGCATCCTCATTCCTTAACCCTCACTGGGTCCAGTGACTCACGTCCTTCTCCAGCTGCCCCACTGGAGACAGGGGGAACTGAACACAAAGCGTTTTCTAGATGCCTTAAAACATCCATCTTCTCTGTTGCTTTTTAAAAATGGCATTCCTAATTAGACTGTTATCATTACCCCCTGAAGAAATTCAAGGAGGTCACATGATACCACATTCAGAGAAGAGTTGAGCCCCAAACTGAAAAGATGGAACTACCCACTAAGAGCTCTAAGTAACAGAATTAAGCATCATGAATAAATATCAAGAGTTTCTTACTTAGGAAACATGACAGCTGGGTGCTAATTGTTCCTTAATAGACCTCCCAAGTGAGTTGAGTTCAGAATGTACTTGGGAGTTCTCAATCATTTGACTAAGAGGAGTCCAGAAGGGGTACCTCCCAGTAACTAAGGGCGGCTGCATGCATTCCTCTGCAGTTACTAGAGACGTAGCTGCTCAACGCCCATCCAGAGCAAGATTCACAATAATGTTAGCTGGCGCTCATGTATCACTTACATTCTAAGCACTTTACTTATATAAATTATTTTTCCTACTTTAGACATGGGGCAAGTGAAGGGCAGAGGGGTAAAGTGATGGAGGACCCACAGGTAATGAGGAAGGGAGCAAGATTCCTACTTGGAAAGTTGGGCTCCAGTCCCTGGCTTTAATCACTCCACCGTACTGCCTCTCGGTTCAGAGACCCCACAAATACCTCTGAGCCTCAACCACAGTGTGAGTGTGTAGACTGTCTTCCAGAAAAATGAGGAGTTGAACATAGAACAAAGGAGGACTATAATCCAGAGGCATTAAAAATTAAACCAGTTCCAAACACTGAGCCAAGTGTACATACCCTAACATGACCAACTAACTGAAAACAGGAAATTTAGAAACAACATAAATGGGAAGTAAATCAGTTAGGCGCCACACTTCCCAAGTCCATCTATCCATCCCACAGAGCTCCAAAATGTCCCTAATAAGAAGCACCAGTGAAGGTGAAGCTTATAATATCTCACCACTATACTGTTGAGGTATTTAAACAATTATTGTATGATATCCCTAAATGTGTGTTTAAATGATACCAAAATTTAGAATAGACTCTTAAAAATCAATACCAAATACTCATTTTTTACTTACCAGATTCAAATGTTTCTTCATCTATGGTGTCCCATGGAGACAAAAAAACCAAGAGTGTCATTATACTACTATCCATACTGAGTCTATATTTTAACAGTCTAATTCCCTGACCCTATGCTCCTGCGTACTCACCAACTTTTAAAATTCTTTCCTAAATCAAGGCCAAGTCAGTGGGGTCTCTATGGCATAGTAAAACCTTAAATGAGATACATGGTATTAGCGCAGTTGAGCTATGACATTAAGCAGGGGTGCTGCAGGAGCTTAAAATAAATAAATTAGAAGAGAACAAATAGAATGTAAAAGAGGCTCAGTGGGAAGGGAAAGGTAGAATGTCACAGGCAGCTTCGATGGACGTCAGACAGCGCACAGCGTTGCTGTGACAGACGGAGGAAGGACACGCCCTGCCTGATGTTGTGGGGCCGGGTGTATAAGCAACCGAGTATGGCAAGGAGGATGAGTATATAAATGGTTTGACTGGATAGGCTTGTTTAGGTGATGAGAAAAGATTTTATATAAACCAACTTTCTCATCAGTTAAAACAGTTCTTACTAGCATTTTATTTTATTTTATTTATTTGACAGAGAGAGAGAGAGTGGGAGAGGGAACACAAGCAGGTGGAGTGGGAGAGGGAGAAGCAGGCTTCCGGCAGAGTGGGGAGCCTGATGTGGGGCTCAATCCCAGGACCCTGGGGTCATGACCTGAGCCGAAGGCAGACGCTGAACAACTGAGCCACCCAGGCACCCCTTTATTAGCATTTTTAAAGAAATATTAAAGATTAAGAAACTAGAATGTATGTGGAGAGCAGTTTGAAATATGTAGCAACACTACTAACGCATTCATCCTGGGATCAGGCAATACTGCGTCTAGGCATACTCATCCATGTGTTTACATGGATGTGTTTGCAAAGACAATGTGTTTACAACCCTACTCATTGTAGCACTCTTTGTAATAGAGAAGATTGGATGTAACTCAAATGTCTACTGATAAGTGATTGTATAAATGCACAATAATTTATTTCACCAATAAGCTATTAAAAACAAAGGAAGAGGCTCTTTATGTGCTAAGATGGAATCATCTATAACGCTAAGAAAAAAAGCCAGGAACAGAATACTGTGTATAGCATACCATCAAAAAAGTCTTTTTAAAAAAAAAAAAAAAAGCGTGTTTTTTTAAAAATGGTGAGGATGATGGTGGGGAGAGGAGAAAAAATACACATCATCGCTTTTATATGCACAGAATATGTCTGGAGGAATCAACAAGAAACAGAGCATTTGTTGCCTCAAGAAGTAAAACTGAGCAGGGTAGCAGGGAAAAGGAGGAACTCTATACTTTTGTAGTTTTTGAATTTTAAAGTATGTGAACATATTACCTAATAAAAATTTTAAATTACAGAAAGAAATGAATATTGGCATGAGTTTTTAAAAAACTTGATAGAAAAAATACAGTGTCAGCATTATTCTGTAGTTGTTCTGGGAAGTATATGTGAATCTTTGAAATATCTGCTATTTAAGGATTTCATATTGTTCTTTAATTTCTAAAAACTAGATTAGCCCAGAAAGCCAAGACAAACTCACCTGTCGGACTAAAGACTTCCCAATAGTCTCCCAGCATCAACAATCAACAGAGCCAATCTCAGTTCTGTCACTAAATTTGGGAAATCTTTTCCCAATTTACGAAAAAAATTTAAGTATAGAAACACAAAAAGTTTTCATATATTTCTCAAAAATTTGGAACCCACTACTAATTAGCTATACTAGAATCTATCAGAAGATGTTACCAAACAATAATAAAAAATATATGTTGCTTTTTAAAAATTGGCATTTCAATATTTTATAGTATTTCACAAAGAGCATGGCAGTTTTCAGACATTCCACTGAATGTTACTGAATGTAACACCTGAGTATTACTAAGTGTTCCTGTGATCATTTCCAAGACATTGCTTTCTAGAACACTTTCTAGAAGGTTGGTTTAGAGCCTGGATACATTCCCACAGCTGTGCTTCCCTTCCAAGTGCCAGAACCACAGAGAAAGGATGTGGTGGGGGAGGAGGGCTTCGTTTTACACATTTCTTCCAGAGGAAAGGCCTGTGGCCCCATTTGGCTAACTCTGCTTCAGAAAATCTACAGCTGAGGTACTTCATATTCCTTCTGGTGGTACATCTGTCAGGAGGAAATGTTACCTGCTTCCACACACTTCTCATCAATCTTCATGTCATCTAAAAGAAGATAGAAAGGAAAAAATAGAACTTAAAATGTATTAGTATCACAAACAAAATTCCCAATGTATAGATCTATGTCAGTAAAACGCAGACCATCTTATAATAACATTACTCTTACAACTATTCCTCATGCTTGCTCACTTGGAGAGATAAAAACGACTCCACTGTATTAAATGAAAGTGAAAATCTATGGTATAGAAGGCTACATAACATAAAATGGTTAAAATTTTAAAAGCATCAGCTTTTTGGGACACCTGCGTAGCTCAGTCAGTTAAACGTCTGCCTTTGGCTCAGGTCATGATCCCAGGGTCCTGGGATGGAGCCCCACATCGGGTTCCCTGCTGAGCAGGGAGCCTGCTTCTCCCTCTCCCTCTGCCTGCCACTCCCCCTGTTTGTGTTCTCTCTCTTTGACAAATAAATAAAATCTTAAAAAAAAAAAAAAATCATCTTTTTGAGTGGGCCAACTAGTTTACCTCAAGCTTCAGTTTTCCATCTATAAATGGTGACGGTAGTAATACCTACCATATAAGAGGATTAATTGAGATAATGAAAAGCTCAGACAGATGGTAAGTATGCAATAAATGTTAACCATTTTTACCTTTAGCTGGGCTATCCATAACAGGCTAAGAGACTATAATTTTTAAAACCACCCATCCCATCCTAATATCCAAAACCCTCTACAACATGACCCAAGCCCAACTTTGAAGGCTATTAGCTACTTCTTTCCTTCCCATGTCTTGTACCCCCATTAGAGTGGTCTCCATCAGGCCTCCTCTGTGCCCTTGCTTATGCTGTTTCCTTTGCCTGTAATGCTTCAAGGTCCATCTCAAACGCTAACTAAAATGGATATCTCTGCCATGAACTGCATAGCATTTTCTTCCTCCTACCTTGAATTCACTGCTACTGCACATCTATTCCACCTTGTAATACAATCATTTGCATATTTGCTTTATTTGCCCTCCTAGATAGCTCCTTGAAAACAGAAACTGTTTTGCTAATTTTTATACTTTACAGAGTTTAGTACAGTGTCTTGCACGTAATAGGTACCTGATAAATTATTAAATTGAACTGAATTTTCCTTTTAATATCAAAATAGTTGATTTGAATATATGTTTGGAAAAAATAATTTTTTTCAGCACTGTACATCTTGCGCCTAACACAGTGCCCAGCACTTCCCAAGTGATCAATAAATAGTAGTTTAAAGGGTTTTAAAAAATATTTTATTTATTATTTATTTAGTGGGGAGGCAGAGGGAGAGGCAGAGAGAGAATCTCAAGCAGACTCTGAGCTGAGCACAGAGCCCAATGAGGGACTTGGTCCCAAGACCCTGAGATCATGACCTGAGCTGAAATCAAGAACCAGTCACTTAACCAACTGAGCCACCCAGGCACCACAATAAATAGTGGTTTAATAATTAAGTCTTATCATGTTCCAAAACTGCAAATAATTGTCTTTATAATAAGCTATAATGTTATCAAGTCATAATAAACTTATCACCACCTCCTTACAGACCATATCATTAACTATCTAAGTAAAATGTGCAATATAAAAAATTTTATAAAATAATACTGCTTTATAGAGATAGGGACACAGGTAAACAAGTAACATAGCTGTCATTCAATTCCTTTTATTTATTGAGACATTACTTTTCAAATCAGTATTTTATAACAACAGTGAATCCATTAGTTCCTAAGACATAACTAGAGGTTTTATGTGTTTTTTTTTTAAGCAAAGGAAAACTACAATTATTATTCCTGTTTTACAGAGGACAGGAGTGAATTTCTAATAACAACACAAGTAGCCCTGATTTTTCTAACTTGCAACTCTGGGATCTAAGACAGACACTGATTTTACTCTCTCAAAATCAACAATTCCACACTGTTGGCAAGGGTATGTGTTATGGACAGACTGTTATCCCTCCTGAATTTGTATGTTGAAGTTCTAGCCCCCAGTTTGGCTGTATTTGGAGACAGGGCCTTTAAGGTTGAATGAGGTCATAAGGTTGGGGCCCAAGGACAGGCAAACATCTGCAAGCCAGAAAGAAGTCTCACCAGAAACCAGACCCACCGAACCCTGATCTTGGACTTCGGGCTGACAGAACCCTGAGAAAATAAGTATTTGTTGTTTAAGGCACCACCAGTCTGTGGTGTCTTGTGATGGTGGCCTGATTCAGGACTGAATTTTAGGACTGAAATATAGGGATGCCTAGGGGACTGCTCTTCTCTTCTGTCCCCCTCCACAAGCAGGTAGCATCTTGCTTTCCAGCTTTTGTGAGTGTGTGTGTTTGGCATCAGAATGAGTCACCTGCGTGTCTGGGCTTGGAGAAAGAGAGAAATAATACCTGGAAGTTCCATTTGCCCTTGATGCAGGGCCCTTCAGACAGAAGCTTCAATCCAGATTACACTGCCCTGCAATACCTCCCAATATTCTTACCTTCTCTGAACCTCAGTCTTTTCATCTATAAAATGGGAACAATTGAAATTCCTTACAGGGTTATTTTTAAGACCGTGTGTGTAAAACAGGTGACACAAAACAGTAAACCAGTTTCACAACTTTTATTGAATTTTTACCATGAGCTGCATCTAAATGTTCTCTCTCTTTTCTCCTATTCCTCTCAGTGTTAGGACAATAACATCATGTGTGCTTTCTTTTGACTGACATCTTTTTTACAAATTAGGGTATTAGTGACTGGCACACTAATAGGTATACAGGAAGAGCTTAATAAATAGCTGAACAGGATTAAAGTGAATTAAGAAAACTATACAAAATTTCTATGAAACTTTGGAGATGAGATTATTTTGTTGTTGTTGTTGTTTTTCAAATACTATTTCTTACCTTCTTCCATAGAAATTGCTGGGTACAGACAAATAATGGAAGCGGAAAGAAAGAGCACATTGGTTAATGCTATAGTTTCTCAGGTTAACTTATAATAAAATAAAAATTAATTATAGTAATATTCTGGGCTTAATCTATAGAAATTTGGTAGAGATTTGGTAACAAAATGATAAAATAAATATCCTATAGAAACTGATACATTTATGAATCTTGTTGGAAATGGAGATCTTGCTTCTGGCAAATCTACTCCCTTCCCACCCTGAAGTTCTGTAAGTGTTGTGTTCTACTCATTTCTGAGTTAATGCATTTTCAGCATATTTTAGGAACTCAAATTTTGACTGGAATAAAAGGAAGGGAGGGAGGAAGAAAGGAAGGGAGGAAGAGAGGAAGGAAAGAAAGAAAGAAAAAAGAGAAAGAAGAAAGAAAGAGAAAGAAAGAAAGAAAGAAAGAAAGAAAGAAAGAAAGAAAGAAAGAAAGAAAGAAAGAAGAAAGAAAGGAGGGAAAGAACGAAGAGAGAAAGAGAGAGAAAGAAAGAAGGGAGAGAGGGAGGAAGGAAGAAAAGAGAAAGGCGACCATTCCACTGTATGTGCATCTTCAGTCAATATATTTTTAATAGTTACCTGCAAATTTTTCATTAAGTCTTGTTAAATAAAATTGCCTATACCTCTGGAGTCAGTAACCTGCTCCTGAGATTATTCTCTCCCTATGGTAACATTAAGCAGAAAGATACAAAATAGCACCATCTAAAACAGTTAAAAAGAAAAGAAATGATCTAATAGTTTAGAAACTGATTATGCTCCATCAGAAACATCCCTGTGAGAGGCGACCCTTTAAGTCAGCAACTCTGTCCTTGGGGTTCTTGGAGTTAGAGATACATGAGTATAATAATAGGGGCTACAAATTCTTTTTCAGGATGGACTTTTCCAAAAGTCTAATGTAAATCGCACTCAGGCTACATGAGCAAATTAAACATCAACCGGTGGCGTACTAGTTATCAGATGCTGATTAGAAGTTTCAGTAGCATTTCCATGTGCCTTTGAGAAATGAAATAGGAAAGCCAATTAAAGAAGCATGTCAGTCTGGTTTGGTAAAAAACAAAAAAATGAAAAAACAAAAAAACTTCTCCAAAACACAGGGGAAATAACTAAAATATCACTATGAAGATCATATCATGAAAAATGTTTCTCATAAAATGTTAGGTGAAAAAAAGATAGGAAGTGGTATTGCAGCTGTTAGCCTAAGATATGTATCCATAAGGTGATGTGAACACATTGCCAGTACAAAGGACTCATAAGGGGGTTTTCTTCTTTCAAAACTCTCTCTATAGTTGTCCTCACAAGTTTTCAAGAAAAAAAGAAAAGAAAAACTAATGTGGGGCCGAGAAAGTGAGTAATAAAGTGACCGAGGACTGGCCATGGGCTGATCTGTGACATGGACACTGTTGTCTAGGCTCGTCCCCCTGCAGCCTCCGGCCAGGCACCCCTCCCTCCACCTGCTGCCCTTCCCCTTCCTTCCCTCCTTCCCAGGCGCCGGAATTTGGGCCCTTTCTGAAGGGCCTCACACAGACAGTTCCCGCTGAGCTCTGCCAAGCTGCAGCCCCCACGTATTAAGGCAAAAAGTAGTTTACAAGCCTTTGCCACCATGGATCCCTTTACTAGCCGTTCCTCTGCTGCCATTTGAATAAGACTGTCCAGCAGGCAAGCTGCATTGATTAAGTAATAATTCAGTCCCATGTTTATTCATCAAAGGCACATAGAACTATTCAGCAGAGCTTCCAAATAGCGTGAAATTTACCCCCCCTGCATAGAGTGCAGATGAAGGTTTGTGTGCAGCCAAGCAGCTTTGCTCGCCAGCATGGGTGTAACGTATATGCTAGCTGTAGAGACCTTGGGGGACTCCAAGCTGGGGAGCCTTCACTGAAGGTGTCACCAACACATGAACATGTGCATTTTCATAAACTCTTCTAAATCCAAAGGAATGAACGTGCAGAGTAGGATTTCAGATGGCTGCCAGGAGGCTATTTGGGCAGGGGGGACATTTAGAGATCCTCTCCTGGGCAGGAAGCCAGCCCTGGGAGAGAAGGAGCAGGCTTCCCCGTGATGCACACGCTGGGTCTGAGGGATCAGCACACTCACATATGGTGGATTTGAGCCCGGTGTGAGGCTGGTATGGCTGAGACCACCAGAACTCCCGTTGCTTCCTACGCACAAAGAAATACCCCGTAAGAGGGAAAAAAAAGTCAACCCAGGTTAACGCGGGTGAAATAGATCCAGTGTTTCCTAGAATTCTGCTGCCTCCACCCATGTAAAGAGGGAGATTTCTTCTCCAAACACATCATCAAATATTCTCCAAATACACAGGCTTTCTTAGCACTTTTTTCCTGCCTCACAAGATCCTTTAAGAGCAACTTTGACTTCTACTGAAAATCTGGCCGGTGACCAAGTGTTCACAGGCCCCAGAGCTTCAGTAACTGGCCCAGGGGCCCCTGCGTCTCCAGAGGCTTAGCTTGCCTCTGAGCCTTCACAGCACGTCCCGGTTCCCCTCTCGGGCTGTTGATACTCCACAGTTCCCTTAGAGCCACATGGATTTTGCTCCTTCTGTACCCTTTATTTGTGCATTAACCCAATAAACTTGTCATTTCTGAGGGTGTCTTGCAAGACCCCCACCGAGCCTCCTCACTGCTTTGTGTCTTGAGATCGCAAGGACTAATCTCATGAGGCCTTTATCCCTGTTCTTGTCAGCCCCTACAGCTCAGGTCATCCCTTATCTTCTGCACATTAATTCCTGTAAGGCTCCGTCCACCACCCGCCCTCCCCAAAGCCCTTTCCCACACCCTGTGGATCTCGACGTCAATCCTCAGCCACGTCTCCCAGACTTGAGCCTCTACTGTGCGTGCCCTTCACCTCGCTCTAACCCAAGCCCAGGGCTCCTGAGGGAACTGTTTCCCTTCACCTTTCAAGAGGTGGCTTGTTTCCGCTCCCACCGCCAGTGGGTTGCTGGTAAACCAGCTCTGGGGGAAGGGAAGGAGCAGATGAGCAGGTCTGCTGATTTCTTTTGAGTCAGTACTCTCCTGGTGGAGATTTCCAGCTGCCAGCTGACCTCACCAACTGTGGACATGAGGACAGGTGCACATGGGCTCTGGTAGCTGCTTCCAGGCCACCACTCGGTGCACTTGTCCTCAGCTCCACAGGCCCGGAGGTGGGGTCTTGGCCATCTCCAGATTACACCTGCTCACTCTCATGCTCTCAACATGGTTCTGTCAGGATTTTCCAGGATTCCATTAGGCATACAAATGCCCCTCCGAACACCCTTGCCTCTGGGTTCCTTGATCTCCTGCCTCCCAGTTCTTACTCAGTGTTCGTTCGACCTCAGCCAGTGCCTCCCAGGGTCATACCCCAGACCTTTTCAGTATTAGTAACTCAATCTCATCTTCCAGCATCCCTTTCTTCTCCCAACACCTCCTGTCTCCCCAGCGCCAATAATCTGCTGACCTCCTATGGACCTATAATCCATTGATTTTACTTCCTTTCCACTGACACTTACTCCTTCATTTCTCTCCTTACTAGCTTAAGCATCAGGGTCCATCACTCCCATGGCCTTTTCTACATTTACTGTTAAATCCAATTCTGCCTCATCTAGACCTGCCCACCAGGAAGCTGACCGGCATCATTTCAAATGCATGACATTTAACCTTAAGTGGGCCCTTCCTGCTGATAATACTAAATTTACCTAATGCATCTGCTCTCAGGTTCTCATTGAAACATCTCAAACTTTCTCCTCTCTCCTTCCCAGCACCTCCTTACCCACCCTTACTCTCAGCCTATGACATTACTTCTTTTTTTTCTCTCTTTTTAAAAAATTAACATATCATGTATTATTTGTTTCAGGGGTATGGGTCTGTGATTCTTACACAATACTCAGATGACATTACTTCTTATTTCACTGAGAAAATCAGAATGGTTGATAGAGAACTTGCACAAGCTCCCACCATATCCCTCACCTTCAACTGTGTCCACACACTCTGGATTCTCTGCTGTTACTATTACTGTTTATGATCTGGTATAGGATCAACCCCTCTACTTGTATATCACTGACCTTTAAACAGACCCACTTATATATGGATTATTTTTCAATAAATATAGTATAGTATTGTAAATGTATTTTCTCTTCCTTATAATTTTCTTATTAATATTTTCTTTCTCTAGCTTACTTCATTGTAAGAATACAGTATATAATACATTTCACATACAAAATATGTGTGAATCCATTATTTATGTTATTGGTCAACAGTAGGCTATCAGTAGTTCAGTTTGGGGGGGTCAGAAGTCATATGCAGATTTTTGACTGCACAGAGTCAGCACCTCTAACCCCTGCGTTGTTCGATGGTTAACTGTACTAGATCATCTCTCCTTCTGTCTGCTCAAGGACATTGACCATAGCAATTCTTTTCTCTTTTTTCTCTATCATAAAAGTTTTCCCTCTCACTGGACTGTTCCCACCAGCATTACGTCCCTCATCTAAAAAAGTTCTCTCATACCACTCCACTTTCCCTTCCAGCTATTTCTCCATTGCTCTGCTCTGCTTTGTACTAAAATGTCTCATGCCATCAATTTCTTCAAATCCCACTCTGCTAGGATTTTGGTCCCATCCCTCCACCGAAATTGCTTTTATCAGGATCACCTATGACTGCCATATTGCCAGATCCAATGGTTACTTCTCAGTCCACTCTACAGCAGCTGATATGGTTGATTTTCATCTTGCCTCATTGGTCACTCCTTCTTAATTTCTATTGTTAGTTCCTTTCCTTCTTCTTGGTTTCTTATCACTGGCTGAGCCTTGGACCTTTTTCTATCTTCTATCTTTACTCATTCCCTCAGACCTCAAAAACATAAAAGTGAGGGTCATGGGTTCAGATTCAATTGAGGTTTCAACTCAGCCTCAAATGATTAATAAAGGGAGTTAGAACTATCTTCTTAAGTTTGAGTTTCACAAGTGCTTTTCTCTCTTTTCTAGCTGGTATGATTATTCTGATCCTCTTGGTATTTAAGATGCTTAGGGTATATGGAAAAGTTGACTTTTGGATTTATAGACCAGTGTATGTGTTTATCCATCTACTTGTCTCCCTTACCTCATCTTAACTGCAATAACAGAAGCCTGAGAAAACATTTTATTTCTTGATGGCTCAGTCCTGAGTCCAGGAGTGAGAGTTGTCTTACCTCTTCAGAAGGTGGTTAGAAGGAATTAGTCCAGCACAGGTACCAAGGTCTGAGATTTTCCGGGCCTGCCACCAGAGGGCATCGTTCTGATCCACAATCTGAAGGATGTCCCCCTTCTGGAAAGGCAACCCTGCGTCCATGCAGGGGATGGTGGGATCTTCCTGGGGCCAGTACTCAGTCATGGCACGAACGTACACCTGACAGCAGGTGCAAAATGGCCCCATCAGAAGAACCCTTGCCCATGGGTTGTCAAGACTTAAAGCCATTTCTCCACTCCTCCACCTCTGTTCCTATCTTGTCTCCCCACACTCTCCAAAAGGGAGAACTTGCCTCTTTAACTGAGTCTAAGATCCATGAATAAAGTGACTTTGGCAACAGAATCTCTCAGTGCTGAGAAATTTTTGCTCAAGTGTTTCCCATTCTTGATGTTACTTTTTAAACTTGTACCCCATCTCCTTTTATCGAATTCATTTACTCATTTGCCCCTTATATCATCAGTATTGAAAAATGTGCAACACATTATAGAGAAGGGCAGTATGATACAAAATATTAAGTCACTCTCATTGTTACTTGAGAATTTACTATGTGTGATTATGAAGGCTCAGTACTTTCTTACCATCGTCTGGCTATTAACAGGAGGGGCAGAAACTGGAACCACCTTGAACATTATTGTGCCGCGAGACATGGCCTAGAAAATATCAAAGGGGAGGGGATAACAAGTCACAGGATTCACTGGATTATTGGGGTTCAGCAGAAGGAGTTACAACACAGTGTGGCCAGCTTTAAGGGGGACGTCCCCCACAGGGATTTTTACAAGAGTTCAACAGCTAAATATCACCATGCAGAAGTGGAAATTAGGAAGAAATGCAGCTCAGCTTCTGCTCGGCTGTGGGGCTCCAGAGTCCCTGGTCTGCTGAGCCCCACCCTGAGGCCCAGCCTCTCCCAGGAACACTCCAACCTGCAACCTTCTTCAGGAAGGTCTTCTTCCTACAGATGCTGGGGAAGGAGATGAGATCTTGATTTGACTTGCCTTCCTCAAACCTCAGTCAGTAATTACTTCCTGAGCCCCTGTTCCTGCACCAGGCAGCCCAGTCTGATGGGGAGAAGAGGCTCCCAAGTCTTCTGAGGGGACTGACAAGTGCCAAGCTAATGGTGGGAATGGGGGCCCTCAAACATTTTGAGGAGACAGAGAATCTTTCAGCCTGATGGAGAAGGTAAGATCCTCCTGTCACATGCACTGCGAATCCAGAGATGAGCAAAACCTTGTCCTCACTCCTCGAAATTTCACAACCCCACCATCCTGGCTCTGCAGCTACCACCAAAATGGCTGAGGCAGAGCCATGTGTGCCTGCGATTGACAGAACTTCAAGCTCCATTTGCAGTGGCTTCGTGCCATGCAGCATCTTGCAGCAGGGGTCATTTGCAAATATTTCAGGGCCTGGTATACTCCTTATAATACCACCTCTCATCTCAGTCCCTGAGGCACATCTATGAAAATTTAGAGTTCCCCCCCCAAACCCAGTTTGAAAACCACTAGTCTATACAATAAATAGCCATCCACCTCAGGCCCCACACTTGGGGTGCGCATGGGGGAGAAGGCAGGGGCATGCCACTATGACTGTGATTCAGGCAAAGGTTTGAAAAGTGGGCATGGGGGCCTAGAAGAAACTATCATCTGGTCATAAATCCCCAGGTTCAACCACCAAGGTCAGTGGCAGGGCAAGCAAGGAAATCCCCCTCCCCATAGGGTAGCCTCTCGGGACATCTCTCCTACCCAGAAGCTACCTCAAGGAAGATGTTAAATAGATTTAGGCTGTATAAAAATGGTAGGGGAACAAGGGTAGTTTGCTCAGGTTCATACTCCCCTCCAAAGTCTCACTCTGCCCACCCCAGGCTCAGTTTCCAAAGAAGCAACCCAGGCAACAAGGGACTTGGGCTGGGGAAACCGGAAGCCTTCCTAAGGCCGAAAGAGCAGGTTGGCAAGAGAAGTGTCCCAGCAGAAACCAGACTGGAGTGGGAGGCTGGGGGTTGAGCTGCACAGAAGCAGAAAAGGTCTGGGGGTCCGGAGAAAGGAAGTTGCCACAAGGGACCAAATCCCCCTCATGTAACAGTGCCCACATCATGGGCCAGACAGGCTCAGGGCAGCTCCAGCATTGTACTGAGTCATCGAGAAGGCAAACAGAAGACTGTTACCAGAATATGGATCACTTGCTCAGGATCCAGTCCCTCAACTGAAACTCCATTCACTTCCACCAGTTTGTCTCCAGCATATAACAACCCTAGGCAAAAAGGAACACAAAACAAAGAAGGGCACAAGGAAATTTGCAAAAAAAAAAAAAAAAAAAAAAAATAGAGGTAACTACACCAAAGATTTTTAGCAAACTCACTGACCCAAGCATGCTCTAACATTTAAAAATTTACTCTGAAATAATCCTAATCCTAATCATACAGACTGGTTATTCTAGCGTACACCAAAGCACAGAGAACTGCGTTTTTACAACTCTTCACTGGGTGTTAAGTGATGGTGATATTTTCATTTTTGCTAATCTGATGTTGCCAAATGAAAGTAACACTAAAAGTAAAGATGTCAGCGTCATGAGTAAATGATCAATGACAAAGAAAGGGGGTGGGGCATTCTTCCAAGAGGAAATGTGGAGGAACGTGGGGTCACGATCCAGCTTTGAGAAACAGGAGTATGCAGGACAGTTGTCAGGGGAGGAGATGAGATGTAGGATGATGTCACAGAATAGAAACCAAGGACGATGAAAACATCAAGACTGTTATGGTTGACGTCGAATGTGCTAGAGAAGTAAAAATAAAACTGAGGCCAAAGGAAGGGCCGAGGGACTTAGCAACTAGGAAATCCTTGGGGTCACTGCTCTAAGAATGTTGGGGTATGAAACTCATGCCAGCTCTGCAGGGCCCTGGGCAGTGACAGGGGGGACAGCAGGCACAGAAACGCAGCAGTAAAAGGAAGGACATTCTGTTGGCTGGTAGAAAGGGCAAGCAACGGGCACTTCAAGGTCGGGGTAGAGCTACGCCTGTTGAAAGCAGAAGGACCAGGGGAAGAGCAGGAGATGGGAATATAGAGCGGGCAAACCTGGACTTGCATCCTGACTCGAACTGTGCAACCTCGAGCACGTCACTTACTTGATCTCTTTGAACCTCAGTTTCTTTTTCTACAGAGTGGCATGCTGATACTTAGCTTGTTAGGTTACCACAAGAAGGTAAGCTGAGTGGATTTGAATATGGGGCTTCAGTGAAGGAAGGGAACAGGGTTTTCTGGAATATTTATTCCCTCCTTCTTAGTAACCAAGCAATGCCATGCAGAGAAGCCCTGACTGTGGTTAGGAAAGAGGGGTTTCCCTGGAAAGACTAAACAACTAAGGGTTTCCTATTTCTCTGGTCCCATGTGTACCCTGCAGCTCCAGCTTACCACTCCTCTCAGCCAGCCCACCGTGGATGACTCTGGCCACCAGGATGTCCCCTGTCATCTCGTGGCGCTTGATGGTAGCTCCCTGGGGAGAGAGTACAGTGGAATCCCTCTTTTACCTAACATGACCATTTTCCTGGTGGCTTCCCTCAATAGAGCTCTGGTCTGGTCAGAAGAGGGTATTTTGTTGTTGTTGTTGCATTAATACATTTATTTTCTTTTTTCGAGATGTCCTTGAAGTAAGGGTCTTTTGGAATGTCATATGAACACTATGTAGATAAGCACTGAGGCAAAAGAATTACTGAGCATTAAATCTGTTTATCCCTAAGTCCTACTCATTTCTTTTACTTCTTTTTTTTTATTATGTTATGTTAATCACCATACATTACATCATTAGTTTTTGGTGTAGTGTTCCATGATTCATTGTTTGTGCATAACACCCAGTGCTCCATGCAGAACGTGCCCTCTTTAATATCCATCACCAGGCTAACCCATCCGCCCCCCCTCCTCCCCTCTAGAAGAGGGTATTTATACCAGCCAGGGCCATTCATTCAACCTTGACCTACCAAAATCTCTACCCAACCACATGGATACAAAATAATATTTAGATCCTTCCAAAGATAAAGAAAGCTCTCACCATTACAACCTAATCAAAGAGACTATTCTTAGAAAATCAAATTAATGCCTCACTTAGCCTCCAATTAATAAAGAAAAAAAAACTTAGATAAATACATTGGAATTTAGTGAAATGTATGTACTTCAGAGAGCCAAATAATAAAATAAAACATGGAGCACCTGGGTGGCTCAGTCAGTTAAGCATCTGACTCTGGATTTCAGCTCAGGTCATGATCTCAGGGTCGTGAGATCAAGCCCCACTTTGGGCTCTGCACTGAGTGTGAAGCCTGCTTGGAACTCTCTCTCCCTCTCCCGCTGCCTTTCCCCTAGGACATCATGCGCTAGCCATGATCATGGATGCCCTCACATTATCTGAATGCCTCAAACTATACAAGCAAGAATATCTAACATTATATTAAATAACTACAAGAGATAATGTAGTTCACAATTAACCCTTGGTTCACAATTAGCCCTGATACCATTCTAACTGAGAAGATAAAGTGATTTCCTTACCAGGGGCTGTTGGTTTTTCACCAAACAAACAATCCTCATTGCTTCCTCACTCTCAGGGATATTGTCTGGCAATGGGGGGAGAAGGGGTTCAAAATCTTTCCGAGCCACAGTGTCATGGGCACTGAGCAAGGCCTAGGAACAGAGAAGGCAAGGTGAACAAAGGTCACACACAGGACACACCCTTCTAGAAGACGGTGAGCTAACACTCTGTAAGACAAATCGCCACCATCACCACAACAACCAACACATATGTGCTGAGCATAGCATTTTATGTGGATTAACTCAATCTTCACAATAACTCCATGAGGCAGGTATATTTATTGTCCCCATTTCATAAAGAAACGAGGCACGGAGAGGTTAAGTGATACATAATATATTCTTGCACTTCTGCTAAAATGTATTTTGTCACTTTCTCATTTCCTGCAAACCCATGTAATCCATGGTGCTCCGATAAGCTTGAACTACAGAATAACTTTTATAATATTTTCCCTAATTAAGGCAGAATGGGAGACAGTAATCAAAACATCTTGCTAGTTTAATGTGTCAGTGACTCCCAAGGGCCTATGAGGAACAGAATGAGAAAAAGTAGTTTCCTGACTTAGGGTGTGATCAAAGAGTTCCTTCTAATGGCCCATTATGTTAAATTTTTATTTCACCGGGTGGGGAAGTAGTCATTCCATAGATTGGTGGACAGAACTTCTCTGGAACTCAGAGAAAATTCTCTAGGGTTATCTTGTGAACTGAAAATTTGACTCAAATTCTATTGCTCCAAGTGCAGATATTCTCTTAAAGTTCTCATTTGTTGATAAACTGAACTCAAACTTTATAAGTACTGTGAGATAGGCTTCTGTTCTGCAATCAAACATTCTTCAATCAAATGTCCTTCATATACTCCCTCATTGAGTTAATCATCCTTATACTATATTTTCAGAACCTCTTCACACATTTCATCCAAAACTTAAAATACTTCCAAGTTGGAAAGGAAGTATACTACCCTGATTCTCCCCCAGAATTTTAGAAGGACAATGGCTTTGCAGGGTAGACACAAGACATCATGGGAAGTTCTGGATGTCTCCTCATAAATATGGCAGGCTTGGCTCCATGGCTAACAACACAGAGCCAGTCACATCTGAGTCCCATATCTTTAAGAACAATCTGTTGGTCACCCACATACAGTAATAGAATGTCTATTCAGAAAGTACATTTCCTGTCACCCTTATTTCTTCTTGCCAACTTTGCCCACGTGCCAGATGGGCATATCTTGTCTATTTTAGCATGCACTTGCCTTAAAGTGTGGATCCTGGAGGATTTGTTTCAGCTCTTGGATCTCAGGGGATTTAGGAGTTTCACATAATATCCCCACTACCTGGTTGGTGAAAAGCAGACATTGTAAAATTTTTAAAAATCTTCATCGCCTAGTTAACATCACCTGAGCTGGATAACAGATACACTGACTAGCATGATATTGACCAAAGAAAACTGTTATTGAAACCTTCTTTTATATCTTTAAAGTCAGGGCCTAGGATCTTTCCTCACTCATTCAACTTTACTACAGCAGGTAGAATCCAAGATGTGGGGTAGGTCTAACACCCAGTGCCTCCATCCTGGCATACCAGAGGCTTGGAGGAGGAAATAACATAATTTTGTAATATATGTTCCAAGGCAATTTCCCTCTAGTGGTGCTAAAACAACTGTTAATGTGAATCTTTATGGGCAGATTAAGGTGTCAGAGTTCTCCAGGTACAGACTCAAATGCCTGGAGAACTCAGGTAGCTTAATCCCATGGGATGCTCCATTCGTCGTGTGGAAAATGGGAGTAGTAATTTGTGTTTTAGGACTTATTATTTGGTTACCAATTTTAATATTTATTGCAATAAAAAAGTGTTAAACATTCTAATTCTGATCTCCTTTCTGTTTGAGTGTAGACCTGCTTTCTGAGAGGACATAAGACCTTTCAAGACTTTACTGAGCCGCATGAGACCCCAGCAGTCAAGCCTCATTACCTACAGTCAAATGAAAACAAGTAGTTTACTAAGCTTTACCTCCATTCCCTAGGATTACAACTGAATAAAATATGTATGTATTTTCCTGGGGACAACTGAGAACAATTTGAATCGTTGATTACTGGAACTGAGGGTACAGTTTTTTCTTCCTTTTTTTTCTATTTCTTTTAATATGGTTTGGACAATAAATAATAATAAAATGGATTACACTTATTTATCCATTCAAGAAATATCTATTGAGTACCTACTACATGCTAGGCACTGTTTTTAGTGATACAAATACAGTGGCAGACAAAAATCCCCATTCTAAAAAAAAAATCCCTATTTTTACTTGATGAAGAGAATTAAGAAGATAAATAAAACAGGAAGGTGGACAGGGAGTGCTCTGAGGGGTTGAAATTTTAGATCAGGTGACCAGAGAAAGCCTTAGTGAGAAGGTGACATTTGGGTGGAGACCAGGAGAAGAGGAAGCAAATCATGTGGCTATAGAGGCAAGACCATTGCTAACATATGGAATAGCAAGTGCAAAGGGCCTGTGGCAGGAGCATGTCTGGTTCACACAACAACAAGGGGTTATCTGACTGGGGGCACCTGGGTGGCTCAGTCGTTAAGCGTCTGCATTCAGCTCAGGTCATGATCCCAGGGTCCTGGGATTGAGCCCCACATCGGGCTCCCTGCTCAGCCGGGAGCCTGCTTCTCCCTCTCCCACTCTCCCAGCTTGTGTTCCCTCTCTCACTGTGTCTCTCTCTGTCAAATAAATAAATAAAATCTTTAAAAAAAAAAGGGGGGGGTGGTTATCTGACTGGAGCAGAGTGAACAAGGGCTAGAGTGGTGAGTGTTAAGTCAAAGAGGGAACGGGCACATTATGTTTGGCTATCTAAGAACTATGATGTGTACCCTGAAATGGGAAGTCATTGGAAGGGTTTGAGCAGAGAAGCGACATGATTTGACACACGCTTCAAGAGGATCTCTTCAAGGGTAGAAGCAGGAGACCAGGTAGGAGGCTATATTGCAAATATCTGTATACGAGATGATGATGGTTTCTATTAGGTGGCAGAGTGGAAGTGATAAGATTCTGGATATATTTTGAAACAGGAGCTGACAGGATCTGTTGTCAGATTGGGTGCGAGGTATGAGAGAAGGAGAAAGTCACAGATAACCAAAGAGTTTGGTCTGAGTGCTGCAAGAACAAAGATGTCCTTACTCAGATGAAAAAGGCTGGGAGGGAAGTGGCTTTGGGTGTGGGGAAGATCAGGAGCTCGTGGGACATGTTGTTTGAGTGGTCCATTAAGTATGCATCTAAGTACGATGGAGAGGAGGCAGTTGGATATGTCTGGAGTCTGGAGTTCAGGCGAAGAGCCCAGCTAGAGATATACATTTGGGAAACATATACTATAACAACATTTACTCTCGGATTACACAGCATCAACAAAGTCTAAGGTTTAGAGAAGAAAAGAGAGAAATGGACACATGCTAAAAATGTTATTTTTTTGTTTGTTTAAATTTGAAGTGCTGACCAATTTTCTTCCTTCTATTAAAGCTCAATTAGAAACACATGAGATGTGTAATCATCAATCCAACTTTGCCATTAGATCGTTTAATTCATTAAAGCCCACTATTCTGTGGATTAAAAACCACCTTACCTCACAGGATAATGTCTGTGCATGAGTTGTGGCAGGAACGAGTTTCTTTTCTTTAAATTCCTGGAGACAATCATAAATCTGCAGAGGAGCAACGGTGGGAGAATGACATATTGAATACACGACTATTAATGTCTGGGGTTGAAAGCCCTGCGAGGGGACAGCCAGGCCGGGCCATAGCGCCAGCAGCTGAGCGGCTGGTGTGCTGGCCTTTTCGAAGGTGTCTGTCGCTGTCCAACAGAAACGGGCTCACGTGAGGTGGCTCCTATCCTCCAGTGGCTTGGTTATTGGCTGCCACTGGAAATTGATCTTCCCCAGCCAACATGATTGATAAAAAGAAATTCAAAGGTTTCCTCTTGTTAAATTAACAAGTGGGCTTTCCAGGGTTGAGACCAATAGGGATTTGGAGCCAGAGACCTGTAGGAACCTCTGTGCTGGGCAAAGGCCAGGGCATGCGCTGTGTGGCTCGGGTTCCGCAGAGGATCTGAACAAGAGGCCAGGCACACTACTCATGCTGATTGTACTCTTATCTGTTTGTTCCCTTTTCCTCCCTTAATCCTCCAAGAAAGGTTCATTTACAAAAATTTCAACTTCGGGGCCCCTGGCTGGCTCAGTCGGTTAAGCATCTGCCTTCGGCTCAGGTCATGATCCCGGGGTCCTGGGATCGAGTCCCGCATCAGGCTCCCTGCTTAGTGGGGAGTCTGCTTCTCCTTCTCCCTCTGCTCTCTCTCACTTGTTTTCTCTCTCTCTCTCTGTCAAATAAATAAATAAAATCTTTAAAAAAATTTCAACTTCATCTCTGCTGACCTGAGGAATTTTTTCCGAACTGGGATCTGGAGTTGGCTGAGGACACCAAGGCGTGCCTAGCTCTGCAGTACAGCCCTTCTTATTTTAGGGATCTACTTTCTCTCACAGATGGAGGGATGAGGCCCAAAAGGCCAGGTAGGCCCAGCCTTCCTCCATCCAGATCTGAGATGACAGTGCTTCCTTGGGCCACCTCTGAGCCAGTGCTCAGGTTGGCCTGGAAGTGATAAGGCAGATGAATTGAGGCAGGGCTTGTAGGGGGACACACAGCCTGCACAGGTGAGCAAGGGAATCCCCTTAGTGACCGGAGGACTGTTTCAGCCAATCCCAGGAGAAAAACATGCCTGAGAGGAATTGGGTGGGGCTTTTTCTCCCCAGCTTTCTTGAGATGTAATTGACAGATAACATTGTGTGAATTTAGGGTGCACAGCATGTTGGTTTGATATATGTATGTACTGCAAACGGAGTACCCCAATAAGTTAACATCTCCATCACCTCACATAATTACGACTGGGTGTGTGTGAGAGAGCGTTTAAGATCTACTCTCTTAGCAACTTTCAAGTACATAATACAGTATTATTAACTATAGTCATCATGCTGTACATTACATCCCTAGAAGTGATTCTTCTCATAACCAGTGCTTGGACCCTTTGACCAACATCTCCCCATTTCCCCCAGCCCCAGCCCCTAGTCTAGGTTTTTATGAGCTGTGCTTTTTTAGATTCCACATACAAGTGAAAACATATGATACTTGTCTTTCTGTGTCTTATTTCACTTAGCATGATGTCCATCCATATTGTCGCAAAAGGGAAGATTTCTTTCTTTTTATGGCTGAATACTATCCCATTGTATATTTCACCTCTGGGTATGTATTCAAAGGAAATGAAATCACGAGCTCAAAGAGGTATCTGCACCCCCATGTTCACCGTGGCTCTGTTCGCAGTAGTCATGACATGGAACCAACCTAAGTGTCCAGCAGTAGATGAATAGATGAAGAAATGAGTTTTAAAACAACTGCTATGAGGAGTACCTCTTTGTTCATGCTAAAGATGTTGTCACTTCCTCTTATTTTTTTTTTTTAAAGATTTTATTTATTTATTTGACAGAGAGAGACACACAGAGAAGGAACACAAGCAGCAATGGTGGGAGAGGGAGAAGCAGGCTCCCAATGCGGGGCTCGATCTCAGGACCCTGGGATCATGACCTGAGCCGAAGGCGGACGCTTAATGACTGAGCCACCCAGGCACCCCACCGCTTTCTCTTATTTTGAAGAATGTATTAACATGCATCAAAAGATTGACCACATTTCACACTTAGCAGAAGGAAACACCTACATCCCCAAAAAATAACTTTAAAAGAATCTTTCTTAAAAATAGTATTTGAGGAGGAGGAAACAAGCTGGAGGAGGAATAGGGGACCCTATTCCAACCGGTCCCCTGAATTGAGCTGGGTATCTACCAGACCATTCTGAACACCCACAAAATCAGCCTGAGATGTAAGAAGATATATTTGGACCTCTACAAGCAGAATATCTCCTGCAGTTGGTCTCGAGGTACAAAGCAGGCAGCCATGATTCTGCGGGCAGATATCAGAAGATAAACTGAAGGGGGAGGGAGCTTCCGAGAACTTGTGCCAGGAAGGTGAGATAACACCGGAGTGCAAAAACCTCCTGCGCTGGGGACCGGGCAGACTCGCAGACCGGTAGTGGCAGGGAAAGGATTTTAGTCCAGCCCCCCGGATGGGATCCAGGAGCTGCAGGGGCACAAATACAAACTGGGGGCGGCTGGCGGTTTTAGAAGCACAAAGGGCAGAGATGTGCCTGGCCCTGGGAGTGAGGGCTTGGAGTGCTGCTGTGGGGCGCACAACCCAGGACACTGAGGCTTTTTAGCAGCACAGACAGAAAGGGAGACAGTGTGGCCTGGAGAGCTCAGTGAAGAGCAGACTGCGGTCTCTCTGCTCTGAGACAGAGGTTTGGATACGGTCACTTGTGCTGACTCTCGGAAGAGACGCGGAAAACGCCAGGGAAAGCTGCCAGAGAACAAAAGCCCCCAAAAAACAGTTTTCACAGAGCCCATCCCACCCACCCCCCCCACAGAGGGCAGGGCAACTCTGCCCAAACACGGTTGCCTGAGTAACAGCACGGCAGGCCCCTCCCCCAGAAGACAGGCTGGGGGAACAAGAGGCCAACAACCCTTTTTTTAGTATATGTGCTGCCGAAGCGAGCACGAGGCCAACAACCCTAAGATCCCTATAAAACAGGTGCATCTTGCTTGGGTTGTGGTCAATAATTTGGACTCTGTACATTCCCTCAACCACCCCTCAACAGAATGACTAAGAGGAGGAACCCCCAACAAAGAAAAGAATCAGAGACTGTGGCCTCTGCCACAGACCTAATGGATATGGATATAAGCAAGATGTCAGAAAGAGACTTCAGAGTAACAAATATGAAGTCGATATCTAGGCTTAAGAAAAATATTAATGACAGTATAGAATCTCTAAGGGCAGAAATGAGATCTAATGAGGCTGAACTTAAAAATACTATGAATGAAATGCAGTCTAAACTGGATACTCTGACTGCTAGGGTAAATGAGGCAGAAGAACGAATTAGTGAGCTAGAGGAAACCAAGGCAGCATGGGAAAAACAGATTAAAGCCCAAGGGATCAAATTGAGAGAGATTAATGACTCAGAGAAACATTCCAATATCAGAATTATTGGTATCCCTTGGGGGTGGGGGGAGAGAGAGAAGTCTAGAAGATATATTTGAGCGAATCATAGCTAAGAACGTCCCTAATCTGGGGAAGGAAACAAGCATTCGTGTCCAAGAGGCAGAGAGGATCCCTCCCAAGATCAACAAGAGCAGACTGACACCATGACATATAATAGTACAATTCACAAATCTTAGATCCAAGGAAACAAGCTTGAAAGCAGCGAGGGGGAAGAGATTTCTTACGTACAGAGGGAGGAACATCAGAATAACGTCAGACCTGTCCACAGAGACCTGGAAAGCCAGAAAGGGCTGACAAGACATAATCAGGGTACTAAATGAGAAGAACATGCAGCCAAGAATACTTTATCTGGCAAGGCTGTCGTTCAGAATGGATGGAGAGACAAGGAGCTTCCAAGACCAGCAGAAACTGAAAGAATATGTGACCACCAATCCAGCCCTGCAAGAAATATTAAGGGGGGTTCTATAAAAGGAGAAAGGCCCCAAAAGTGATATAGAACAGAACTTTACAGAGACAATCTATAGAAACAAGGACTTCACAGACAACATGATGACAATAAAATCATATCTTTCAATAATCACTCTCAACGTGAACAGCCTAAATGCTCCCATGAAACGGCACAGGGTTGTAGACCAGATAAAGAGACAGGACCCATCCATATGCTGTCTACAAGAGACCCATTTTGAACCTAAAGATACATCCAGACTGAAAGTGAGGGGATGGAGAACCATTTTTCATGCCAACGGATCTCAAAAGAAAGCTGGGGTAACAATTCTCATATCAGACAAATTAGATTTTAAGCTAAAGATGGTAGTAAGAGATCCAGAGGGACACTATATCATTCTTAAAGGGTCTATCCAACAAGAAGATCTAACAATTGTAAATATCTATGTCCCCAACATGGTAGCAGCCAACTACATAAGCCAACTCTTAACCAAAATAAAGAGACATATTGATAATAATACGTTAATAGTAGGAGACCGCAACACTCCACTCTCAGCAATAGACAGATCATCTAAGCAAAAAATCAACAAAGAAACAAAAGCTTTGAATGACACACTGGACTAGATGGACCTCATAGATATATACAGAACATTCCACCCTAGAACAACAGAATACTCATCCTTCTCGAGCACACATGGAACTTTCTCCAGAATAGACCACATACTGGGTCACAAATCAGGTCTCAACTGATACCAAAAGACAGATTATTTCCTGCATATTCTCAGACCACAATGCTTTGAAACTGGAACTCAATCACAAGAAAAAATTTGGAAGAAATTTAAACACTTGGAAGCTAAAGACCATCCTGCTTAAGAATATCTGGGTCAACCAGGAAATCAAAGAGGAACTTAAACAATTCATGGAAACCAATGAGAATGAAAACACATCAGTCTAAAACCTATGGAATACTGCAAAGGTGGTCCTAAGGGGGAAATACATAGCCATCCAAGCCTCACTCAAAAAAATAGAAAAAGCCCGAATACACAAACTAACTTTACACCTTAAAGAACTGGAGAAAGACAACAAATAAAGTCTAAGCTACGCAGGAGAAGAGAAATAATTAAGATTAGAGCAGAAATCAATGAATTAGAAACCAGAAACACAGTAGAGCAGATCAACGAAACTAGAAGCTGGTTCTTTGAAAGAATTAATAAGACCGATAAAACACTGGCCAGACTTATCCAAAAGAAAAGAGAAATGACCCAAATTAATAAAATTATGAATGAAAGGGGAGAGATCACGACCAACACCAAGGAAATAGAAACAATTATTAGAAATTATTATCAACAAATATATGCCAATAAATTGAGCAACCTGGAAGAAATGGATGCCTTCCCAGAAACCTATAAACTACCAAGACTGACACAGGAAGAAACTGACAACCTGAATAGACCAATAACCAGTAACGAAATTGAAGCATCGGTCAAAAACCTCCCCAAAAACAAAAGTCCAGAGCCTGATGGATTCCCAGGGGAATTCTACCAAACATTCAAAGAAGAAATAATACCTATTCTCCTGAAGCTATTTCAAAAAATAGAAACAGAAGGAAAGCTCCGGACTCATTCTATGAGGCCAGCATTACCTTAATCCCCAAACCAGGCAAAGACCCCATCAAAAAGGAGAATTACACACCAATATTCTGATGAATATGGATGCCAAATTCTCAACAAGATCCTAGCTGATAGGATCCAACAGTCATGACCAGGTCAAATTCTCTCTCTTCACAGATGACATTTTACTTTATGTGGAAAATCCAAAAGACTCAACCCCAAAATAGCTAGAACTCCTACAGGAATTCAGCAAAATGGCAGGATATGAAATCAATGCACAGGAATCAGTTGCATTTCTATACACTAACAATGAAACAGAAGAAAGAGAAATTAAGGAATCTATCCCATTTACAATTGCACCAAAAACCATAAGATAGCTTGGAATAAACCTAACCAAAGAGGTAAGGATCTATACTCTATAAACTACAGAACACTCATGAAAGAAATTGAAGAAGACACAAAAAGATGGAAAAACATTCCATGCTCATGGATCGGAAGAATAAATGTTAAAATGCCTATGCTGCCCAGGGCAATCTACACTTTCAATGCCATCCCAATCAAAATACCAATGGCATTTTTCAAAGTGCTGGAACAAACAATCCTAAAATTTGTATGGAACCAGAAAAGACCTCGAATCACCAAGGAAATGTTGAAAAAGAAAAACAAAGCTGGGGGCATCACGTTGCCTGATTTCAAGTTATATTACAAAGATGTGATCACCAAGACACCAAGACTGGTACAAAAATAGACACACAGTTCAAGGGAACAGAATAGAGAGCCCAGATATGGACCCTCAACTCTATGGTCAACTCATCTTTGACAAAGCAGGAAAAAAGACAGTCTCTTCAATAAATGGTGCTGGGAAAATTGGACAGCTATATACAGAAGAATGAAATTCGACCATTCTCTTACACCATGCACAAAGATAAACTCTAAATGGATGAAAGACCTCAATGTGAGACAGGAATCCATCAAAATCCTAGAGGAGAACATAGGCGGTAACCTCTTCAACATCAGCCGTAGCAACTTCTTTTAAGACATGTGTCCAGAGGCAAGAGAAACAAAAGCGAAAATGAAATTTTGGGACTTCATCAAGATAAGAAGCTTTTGCAAGCAAAGGAAACAGTCAACAAAACAAAGAGGCAACCCACAGAATGGGAGAAGATATTTGCAAATGACACTACAGATAAAGGGCGGGTATCCAAGATCTATAAAGGATTTTTCAAACTCAACACCCAAAAAACAAATAATCAAGTCAAAAAATGGGCAGAAGACATGAACAGACACTTCTCCAAAGAAGACATACAAATGGCTAACAGACACATGAAAAAAATATTCAACATCATTAGCCATCAGGGAAATTCAAATCAAAACCACATTGAGATACCACCTTACACCAGTTAGGATGGCAAAAATTGACAAGGCGGGAAACAACAAATGTTGGAGAGGATGTGGAGAAGGGGAAACCCTCTTACACTGTTGGTGGGAATGCAAGTTGGTACAACCACTTTGGAAAACAGTGTGGAGGTTCCTCAAAAAGTTAAAAATAGAGCTACCCTATGCACTACTGGGTATTTACCCCAAAGACACAGATGTAGTGAAAAGAAGGGCCATGTGCACCCCAATGTTCATAGCAGCAATGTCCACAATAGCCAAACTGTGGAAAGAGCCGAGATGCCCTTCAACAGATGAATGGATAAAGAAGATGTGGTCCATATATACAATGGAATATTACTCAGCCATCAGAAAGGATGAATACCCAACTTTTACATCAACATGGATGGGACTGGAGGAGATTATGCTAAGTGAAATAAGTCAAGCAGAGAAAGTCAATTATCATATGGTTTCACTTATATGTGGAACATAAGGAAGAGCATGGAGGACATTAGGAAAAGGAAGGGAAAAATGAAGGAGGGAAATCAGAGGGGGAGATGAATCATGAGAGACTGAAACTGAGGGTTTCAGAGGGCAGGGAGGTGGGGGGATGGGTTAGCTCGGTGATGGTATTAAGGAGGGCACGTATTACATGGAGCACCGGTGTTATATGCAAACAATGAATCATGGAACACTACGTCAAAAACTAATGATGTAATGTATGGTGACTAACATAACATAATAATAAAAAAAAAGAATGAGTAACAAAAGGATTAAAAGTAGTCAATTGAAAAAAAAGCATTTGAACAAAATTATAATCAGATAGTAGATGCTATTGTACAGTGCATGAAATTTTAGCCAAATTTTTAAAAAAGAAATTTTCAGGATAAGAAAAATTTAAGATACCTAAACAGAACTGTAGATATCTTATTTCCTGATTTTAAGAAACAAAGAGGAATAATTTTTTAAAGATTTATTTATTTGAGAGAGTGGGGGGAGGGGCAGAGGGTGAGACTCTCCAACAGACTCCCTGCTGAGCTGGGAGCCCAAGGTGGGGCTCAGTCCCACAACCCATGAGATCACGACCTGAGCCAAAACCAAGAGTTAGATGCTCAACCGACTGAGCCACCCAGATGCCCCAAAAAGGAACAATTTTTTTTAAAGCATTTTATTTGTCCTGAGTTTTAGCCTCAAGGACAAAAGGTTGTAGACAGATGCTATGGGTGCTGTTGATGGCCATTTGTGGTGGCCACTTTGTGATCCCAGGGTCCTCTGGAAGAAAAGGAACTGGGGGAGAAAAGAGAAACTGCCATATACTTTCCCACCTAAATTCATCCTTTGTAAGCTAAGAGGTTTGTGTAGCTCTTCTCTGAGAATTGCTTTGATACTGTGATTTATATAAGAATTATATATTTGGTCCTGATTCTGGCTCAGAGCTCTTAAAACCCTTGGAATTTCCTAAGTGAGGAAAGTGACAAAGATGCCTTTTTTTATGTTAATGAGGTGATTTCTGGAATGCACCTAAGATTAAGGGCAGGTTGCCAGGAGAACCAACCATGTAATTAGACTGTTGGAATTTTCAGTCCACCCCCTACCCCCACCTCCACCTCCGGGGAACAGAGAAGGGGTTGAAGGTTGAATCAATCCCCATTGACTAATGACTTAATCACCTGTGCTTACGTAATGAAGCCTCCAGAAAAGCCCCAAAGGACTGGGTTTGTTAGAATTTCTGGTTTGGTGACCTTGTGGAAATCTAGGGGAGAGTGGAGGGGGCATGGAAGCTCTGCACCCCTTCCCACATGCCTTGCCATCTTTATTTCTTCCATTTGGCTGTTCCTGAGTAATATCCTTTTATAATAAACTGGTAATCTAGCAAGTAAAATGTTTCTCTGAGTCTGTGGGCTGTAGCAAATTAATCACACCCAAGGAGGAGGTCTAGGGAACCTCTGATTTATAGACAGTTGGTCAGAAGTACAGGTAACAGCCTGGGCTTGTGACTGGCGTCTGACATGGGGGGAGGGGGCAGCAGTCCTGGGAGACCGAGCCCTTACCCTATGGGATCTGATGCTATGTCCGGATAGTGTCAGAATTGAGATGAATTACAGACATCCCCTAGTACCCCCACACCCATGTCGGAAATTCTCAGAACACACCAAAGAATTGCCTTCTAAGAACTTTTACCAAGTTGAAATCTCCTGCCACCTGACCAATGAGTGAGTGGCACAGTTGGGTGAGCAGTTTTCAGCTCCCACAGTAAGCAGAGGCCTCCAGGTAATGGGGTGCACACCTTTAGCAGAGCCTGCAGCCATGGGGAATGGAGAAGATCATATAGGAGACACACTCCGTTCACATCTCGGCTGTAGAACAGATTCAGCTCTCGCAGCACAAGCCTCAGGATCTGGGAGAGACCTGGAAAAGGGAGAGGGCAGAGGTGGAGTGGCCGGTGGAGGTGAAGAAAGGCAGGTGTGAGTGTGAAAGACAACTCAGACTCCTGGGATGGGTCACAGGGGCTCCTGAGGAATGAGATGACGCTGGATTTAAGGCCAAAAGCTCTGGTTCTATCACTGTGTGAACTTCAGAAAGTCATCCAACTCTCTGAAACCCAGTTTCCTTGTGGCAAAATAATATGCTATCCTTCCCATAGGATTGTGGCTAAATTTAGATGAAATAATAGATCATTTACAGATGTCAGATTTTATGAGAGCAATATTCTTTCCCTTCCCCCACCTTATCGGCCTTTGGTTTATTCCAAAATTATCTCGTTGTTTTCTGGATCCTCCTTCTCTAATTCAAACGTAGTCATTTGTCTTCACACTTTCTGAAAGTTTTTATTGGAAGTGTTATTGAAAAACTCTAATGGCCAGGGCACCTGGGTGGCTCAATGCGTTAAGCGTTGGACTCTTGGTTTCGGCTCAGGTCATGATCTCAGGGTCATGGATTTGAGCCTTGAGTTGGGCTCTGCCCTCAGCAAGGAGTCTGCTTGAGATGCTCTCTCCCTCTTCCTCTCCCTCTGCCCTTCCTCCTGCTTGTGCCCTCTTTCTCAAATAAATAATAAATAGTCTTAAAAAGAAAAACAAAAAAAACCTGACTCTACCTGCCAATAGGTGTTTAATACAAATCTCAGGATTCCACTGATTAAAGAAACTGAACAGATTTTAATCAATGCTGGATTTTTTTACATGTTTTCATAGGCATTCTATTTGTTGTAGTGATATTTTGAATGTGAACAAGTTGTGAAGTTCTAAGTTTAAATAAAACATTGTGGGATAAGAGAAAAAAGGAGGTTCTGAACCCACTGTGCCGATTTCTTTCCTTCCTGCCTTGAAAACTGCTTAGAATCATCACTAATAGAGGTAGTAGGACACTCTGAAGTGTCCAACAAGTTCCTTAAAAGAATCACAATAAATCTATCAGAACCCCTGCCCCTAAATTTGATCTCATATCTACAGTGATGTTATAAGGCCTTTCTGATCCAGAAAGGAGTCCAGGCACTACATACCATTCTCCGGATTGGTTGCCGTAGAGGGTTTCATGTTCTCCTTGTCCAGTGGATCTGCTCCTTTGTCTGACTGTATCCTTCCTGCCCAAGCTTTCGGACGGAATTCAGCCCTGGGAGCAGACTGTAAACAGCACACAGCTCACTCCGGTCACGCCGGCCCTGCAGCTCTCACGCACTGGAATGTGTTTTCAACAGCATTTATTTGAGCAAGTCGAGCACCGTGCTACACCCAGGGACCCATATCAAACAAAACACTTGCCCTGTAGAGCTCACTCTCTAAATTAACCAGCCCTATGAGAGAGCATTACTATTTCAGGGAACACTCCTCCCACTCTCTCTCTCTCTCCCTCTCTTTTTTTTTTTAAACAAGTGACAAACAAATATTTATTTCTCACCCAGTTAATTTTACCGTCCTTCAGAGCTCAGAAGAGCCTTCCCTGGCCTGACGCCACTCATGTGCCGTGTTCCCTCTCATTGTACCTACAGTTCTTCGTGGCACCAATCACAATGGCAAGAGGCATGGTTACATCTGAGGCATACTCTTAAAGGTTATTTTCTATGTGGCTTTGGGAAGGATTAGTTTCAAGAAACAGAAACCCAAAATAATAGTGGTTAAACAGGGTAGAAGTTTATATCTTGCTTATGTAAAAGTGTAGAGGCAGAGACAGTTCAGGGTTGGTAGGGCAGCCTTGCTCCACGAAGTGCTCAGAGAATGGGCTCCTTCCAGCTCGCTGCTCTGCCTCCCTCGGGTATGGTGTGGTTCCCATCTTCCTGCTCCAAAATGGTGGCTGGAGCTCCGGCCATCACTTCTACTTCTCAGCCAGCAAAATGAGGGTTAAGAAAATGAGGGCAAAGGGAACATGCTCACTGCTCTTTGTGGAAGTTTCACAGAAGTTGCCTTATATGATGAAAAATCACCTTATACCCTGGTATAACTTGAAAACACCTCACTGGACTTTCATGTTGCTTAAAAAAAAAAACTCCGAACACCCTTATAATTAATTATCAGAGCCTAGAACCCAACTTTTCTTTACCTAAAAACACAAAGTATTTTGGCATTATTTCAACATATGTTGAATTTTCTGAAATGCTACTACCGTAATTGAGAAATGAATTTACTTTGTTTTGCTTGGACTATATCAAGTTGTTCACCGTTTCAGAAAATCTTGTCAATAATGGTAAAGCTGCTTTGCTTGATACACCTCTCACTGGCTTTTCCCCCTTGCCTTGTCTTAATATCCTACTCAGCTACTGGTGTTTCCTGGGATCACTTTCTGAACAAATCATCCCATTAGAATCCTAAAAACATAGCATTTAGGGTATCACTATAACACACCACTATCAAGCTGTATCTGCGTCCCTGGCTGGATTTTTTAATAAGTGCAAATATGTTGTTTCATTATATCTTTTGGTGTAGTGGTATTTCATATTTACATGTTGAAATATACAATGTCTTATTGACAACATTTATTTAACATCTTATTACTAGGGCATGATACAGATAGATTTCCTTTTTTTGAAGTTGTGTGTAAGGAAGTATCTTATTTTGGGTTTCCCCAAAATCAGAGCAAGGATTCTAGTGGGATGATTTGTTTGCAAAGTGATCCTGGGAAACACCAGTAGCAGAGTGGGATATTGAGACAAGGCCGGGGGAAAAGCCAGTGACAGGTGTATCAAGCAAGTAACCACTCTGGGCATTATGGAGCTTATGCCTTGGGGGAATAAGGTACAAGAAAGTGGGGGTATTTATACACCAGTGCTGCTGGTCATCAGTTGAGGGCTTTTGCCAGAGAACATTACTTCTAGTCCTTCCGGCCTCCCACATGCATGCTCTCAGGTAGTGAGTGCAGGGGCTGGCTGTTCGAATTTGGCCTGGGTTGCACCAAAACTGTAAGGACCAACGGTCTATGGGTAGGGCACCAACAACATTTGTTATCCAAGTAGGATAATAAAGGATAAATCGGGATTTTTTTTAAAAAGGAGTATTGCAAATTAGTTGTTAGAGACTGGGATATTGCATCTGATATGGTTGAGAACCCCTGCCTAGAATTTAGACAGATTGTGGGGTTGAACCAGGGAGGCTATCTCGAAAAAGACAGATCATTATTGTGTTGTCTCTAAATTCCCAGTGAGAAAGAAAGCTGTTGGAGAATTTTAAACAACTCTCCCATACACATTCTTTCCCAGTCACACTGAAGTATTCTAGTTTGCTAGACTCTTCCAAAACCTGACATCACATGCTTTTGCCATGCCCACCACCACCTGCCCTGCCCAGCCTCAACTGAGTTAGGTTAAACCCTTCCATTTTCCTGTGTTCTAGTTTTTGAGCCTCTGTTGAATCATTTAGCACAACATTTGCACATATGACTCACCTTCCTCCCAAGAGGGGAGCATGGAGGGTAGGAAATAGAAAAGGGAGGTGGAGTGTCTTCCAGATAGACAAAAGTCAGAGCAAACAGATGGGTCTGACACCAAGCCATCATATTCAAGAAGCTGCTGGAAATGTTACCCAAAGGGCGGTTCATAAATTACGTCCTTGGAGAGGAAGTACAGATTAAACGAGCCAACTACTATCTGTGCATCGTAAGTAAGGTAGACCACATTTCTTCCATATTAATGCTCAAATGCCAGTGTGCCAAACTAGGCCTGTCCATGCTGCAGCCGGGGACACCAGACTGCGCATTCCTGAGATGACCTGATTTGTGAGGGAGATTTACAGATAGACTGTGATTTCTATAGTGAGTTTTAATTATTAATATAGCTTCCAATAAATCTACTGCTAACTGTAGGGCTGCAGATAACGAATTCATATATTCTCAAAAGCTCATGTTGACTAAAAGCTCCTCACCCATGGAGGCATAAACAGTGATTTTCATCTCCACAACTTAGGTGAATTCTAAACATGGTGGTCACCATCAGGTTCCTGTGACAAATTGCTGTGGACTGAATTGTGTTCCCCCAAATTCAGATGTTGGAGACCCAACCCCATTGTGCTGGTATTTGGAGGTGGGACCTTTGGGAGATATTAGGCTGAGATGAGGCCATGAGGGTGGGGTCCCCATGATGGCATTAATGCCCTTGTAAGAAGAGACACCAGAGAGCTTGCTCTCCGTGAATCTCCCTGCCAGGTGAGGGACACGGCGAGGAGCCTCTCTTCAAGCTGGGAAGAAGGACCACACCAGAACCCACTCATGCTCATACCCTAATCTCAGGCTTCCAGCTTTCAGAACTGAAAGAAAAAAAAATCTGTTGTTTAAGCCACGGAGTCCCTGGTATTAGCCCAAGGTAAGACAAAAAAATCATAGAAGGAAACCTCAGAAAATGGTTTTCCCTCTCTCCAGATGTCTATGAAAACTATGGCAATGCTTCAGTTCACAACCCGCTTCACAATTCTCTTACGCATTAGCCCGCTCAGTGTCCGGCTTCTGCGTGGGTCATGTCTGCAGAGGGTCTGGAAGGTGGACCTTGTGCTTTCTGGTTCACGCAGAAGCCTCGGCACCTGTAGCAGGGTCTGGGCTGTATTTCCAGTGGTTGAGAAGGGGAGGAAAAATGGTAGGCCAAAATATGGAAGTAAAAGGCCGATACTTGCCCAGGGAGAGCAGCTGGGACGTCAATCCTGAGGTGGGAGCCGCTGACTCCAGAGGCCTGTGCCCTTCCTCTTTTCCTCAGCCTGGTTATATTGACTTCAACCTCCTTCCCTATCAAACTTTGAAAAACTTTCGTTTTTCAGATGTGGAATCTGACATCCAAAGGGGTATTCGGTAGAGTTAACAAGTAGTAAAATCCAGTTTTCCTCTTTTGTTTCCAGGACTAGACCTGAAAAATATGAGTGCCTGGCAAAGGACTAGAATCCCTCTTCCCTGCCTTTTCATGACTTCTGGACCAAGTTTGTCAGTTAGAACTTACCTATTTCTGCTGTCATGAGGACGAGAATTCATGATTGAGGCTGCAAGTAAGTCGATACCCAACAATATGCAATTCTGGACTAATTAAATAACAGAGGAAGGATCACCAGGTCTTATTAACTGAGAAGCTGCATTAGTGTTATGGACTTATAAAGAATTTGTCCTAAATATTACTTTAAAAATCAGTATTGATTGAACTTGTTAAAATATAGTGATAACTATTAATCATTCCCCCTACCCCTATTAAGCTCTTTTTTAAAAAAAAAAATGCTTCCTACTAAACAAAGCCTGAAAAAGCACTTGAAAACTTAATGATAAGTAACAGCCCGTACAAAAATGGCCCAGCTTCCTGTGGGTCAAAATGCTGTCGACTAGGGCTAGAACAAATGGTCAGTTTTACTGTCTGCATGACAACTCATTATTCCATACTTAAACAGTTTCCCAAAGCAAAACCTGCTCTTCCAAAATCACAGAATTCTCCATATGATTTGGGTAACAATGAAACTAAACCATTTGAATTACCCAGATTTTTATTTGTAGCTATTAAAAATTGACAGAAGCACGGACATTTATACATCTCTTCTGGTAACTGAGGATCATTTGACAGAGTCTCTTACCTGCAAGACCGCAAACATGCAATATTGCTCCTATCCAGAGAAAAGCTTTGGTAGAAAATACTAGTGGGCTATTAGCTGCCAAAGTCACCTCACTGTTCTAGACAAAATCTCTGCACATCCTCTTTGATTTAATCCACAGAAGCCTAACCCAGCCTAACCACTAAGTTACTCATAAGCTTCCCCTGTCACAAATCTTAAGTATTCCTTACACTGGGAGGTCTAATTTATATCATTTCAACCTTCACTGTGGTATTTTCTCTCAAAATGCCACCACATAGTTAACACCAAAAAAAATTATTTTTGTTGACCATTCCCTAACAGACACCCCCCAACAGACAATAGCATTTTTAATGAAAGGAAAAACTTTGGAGATACCAGAGAGTAAGCTGACCTATTAACCTTATTGTCTCATGTTATGAGAATATGATGGAAGACCCTTCAGCCAATAATAATAAGGCCTGTAAAAAGTTCCTTCTGGAAGGTTCGCTACCAAGTGACTGTCCTCAACTTAATAGTTACCCATTATCTCAGATTGGAGTTACTTCTTTATTTGAAAATTTTATATTGCAGCGAAGCACATTAAGTGCGAAAGTCGGTGGGAGGCACACTGGGAAGTAGATAACCCAGAATAAAACTAAAGGGTTCTGCTCACAGCAGGGCAGATCGGAATAAAGACCAAATGACTATTGTTAGAGGTTTATCAGCCCCTTTACTCGAAATTAAACAGGTGGCTTTCATTTGCTTTCCACTGTTGATGAAAATGCAAGTTGGGAATGTGATACTTCTGTGACCGTTTTGAGCACACCGTATTTTACCATAAACACCTAATGTTATTAAGTTTTCAACTCATTTTTTACCTTACAATCTTTAAAAAAAAAAAAAAGATCTGCGAGAGAGTGCATACATGAGTGTGAGAGGGAGAGGGACAGGGAGTCTCAAAAGACTCCCTCCTGAGACACAGGGCTGGATCTCACAACCCTGAGATCATGACCTGAGCCA